TTGCAGTTGCATTTATTTCTTACTTGGACTGAATCACATTCACAGCAGTATCACTATAGTAAAGGAGCACTACAGTCCTTTAACACAATCACAAAAGGAAATACTTGTAACTACTTGATAGTAACAATAAGGCAAAATATTGAATAGACCTCACATCTACACATCTAAAAAACAGCATTCGTTCACAACATAATGGTAACTTTACAATGTTATGGGTCAAATGTAAAAAATATATCAAGAGAGCAAGAGAGAGAGGTACTCCAATAAATATGTGTTTCCCTTATGTAGTAATATTGTTCACAGACCATAAAACCTCCTTAAGAATTCATTTTTTGATTTTTAAAGATTGTAATTACAACTGCACAGCTTTCACAACCAAAGTATTGTCACTGCCTTACATACAGCATAGTCATAAAATATATATATATTTTTTTTACATATATTCAATTCCAAAAACTCTATACAATATTGGTCCAGCTTAGATGCTTTATAATTTTCTGTAACTGTAAATGTGAAATCCAACATATTGCAGTATATGCTTTTAGTACTGGACAGTGGTTACCATCAGCTTTGTGGAATAATAATAATAATAATGTTATTACACTGGTATCTTATAAGACTTTCTCATAAGATGGAAACACAGGATTATAGCCTACTATATTTTATGTTAGTATGTTAACAGCATATACCCTTGGATTTACTCTTACAGGCAGAGGTGATACAGAATAATATAAAGCAAATTTGGTAAAGTTGTGATTGTACACAATGTTCGTGGCAGATGTTAGCAAAAAAAAACTGTGTTAAAGCAAAAACAACAACAAACTTAATAAATAAGAAATCAAATGTTTTTTCCCTCCTCAAATCTAATGTCTGAATACTAAAACTAAGTGAGCTCTATACCTATACAGCATTTCAAGGCATCATAGGTGCTTCCATCATGAAGTGTACATTCTCAGATATATCAATTAGCTAATTAGCATTTAGCTATCTTTAACAGAGAATGCAATCCTCGAAAACACTGTCTGAAAAATCAATCCAAATATGGAGGATTGGTTGAAAGAAATGTTAATTATAAATACTTAAATTTCACTCAATACTGAAAACACATTGATAAACACTAGTTAAACAATAAAAGGTGTGTTGTGAGCATACTGACGTGCTATTGCGTTAGCTTAGCAACATGCTAATGCAAGACTCCTGTCAGTCACTGATGTTCAATCTTACTGAGACAGCAGACAAAATGGTTGCTCACTAGGGTTTAGGAAGAAAGCTTTTATATTAGTGACAAAAGACAGCAACAAAACACTGAAAGGACGTATTTTAAAAGTGCATTTTATACTATGATGCAAAGTTTAGATTAAAGATTCATTGAGAGCTTCCTCCACAAGGAATGAAACTGTACTAAATACCACTGTAAGGCCAGAAATATACTGTACGCAACAGGCTACAGATGTGTTAAGGCCCACTCACACCAAGTACAATAACTATAATGTTTTAATCATCATTCCACAAGAATAGTCAAATTCACAGCACAACGATAACGAAACAGAGGAACGTTACCGTTGGAATCACTTTCAGAAGGAGTTTTTGCAGCTGATGAATGACAAAAAACATTTGTGCTTCTAATAAACAACATTATTGTCCGTTGGGGGGATGCTATGGTTTTCATTTTAGTTATCTTCATAGTTTTGTTTGTTCAAGTTGCTAGCTATAAACATGCCATTTATTTAATTAATTTTAACTAAATTGCTGAGTAAGATGCTATGGAAGCTTGTTTAAAAAATAAAAAAAGCGAGTTTTGTAAGATATAAAGTCAGAATTGCGAGAAAAAAAAGTCTGAATTGTGAGATTAAAAAAAAAAAATCACTCTAATCTTTTTTATTTTTTATTCAAGCTTCCATAGGATGCTCTTTAAAGGAGTAGTTCACTTTAAAAAAAAAAAAAAAACTTTTGCTAAAAATTTACTCACCCCCATGTCATCCAAGATATCCACGTCTTTCTTTCTTCAGTCGAAAAGAAATTAAGGTTTTTGATGAAAACATTCCAGGATTTTCTCCATATAATGGACTTCAATGGGAACCAAACGGTTCAAGGTCCAAATGAGAGTTTCAGTGCAGCTTCAAAGGGCTTTAAACGACACCAGACGATGAATAAGGGTCTTATGAAGTGAAATCATCGGTTTTATAAGCACAAATCCTCGCCTTGTTCATGACTCTCCTGTTCAAACTTTTTCATCAAAATTAACAAATCTTTTTTCGAGTCACAACTCGAAGGGTCCTGAAATGTTTTCATCAAAAACCTTAATTTCTTTTCGACTGATGAAAGAAAGACATGGACATCTTGGATGACATGAGGGTGAGTAAATTATCAGCAAAAGTTTTGTTAAAAGTGAACTACTCCTTTAAACCGTTGACAGAAAAAACCCCGACCGTAGATGAACACAGTTTATAGCACCCCTTGTGGTGACGCTGAGAATGCAACACGTCACGTCATGAACTGTCACCTGACACGTTTCATATTTTCACAATCGGACTTTATGAATTGCATCCAGCGTTTGCGTAGAGTAAGTTTCAGGCCTCAAACTCATAAAGATAATATCCTGAAAGTTATACAAAGGTATAATCTAAAAGTCCAAATATTTACAGTACACCCCTCAATGGTGTGCTCTGCCTGAACCAAGTGGATTATTCCTCATTATCTTTAACAACAGGACTGCTTTACCTAAACACAGTCATCAATACTGAACCCAATGAACGCCCAGCATTCAGTTTCATCCCCCTCGACCCGTCACAAAAGCATCAAACACCCGAGTGCTGACAGAAGGGGTAAAACGATCGCGCTCACTGCCATTTGAATAAGGTCGCAAGCTAAAGCAAAGCCAGATGGAAAGGAAATCTTCCCCGTGCCAGTGACTGTCTCCACGCTTCTCAAAGGACAGCATTTCAGTGAGAGAAACAGAAGGCACCTGTTCTCCTCTTCGGAGCTCACATTCACACAATAGAGAAGGAAACGACCAGGCGAGGTCGAACTCTTAACCATCTGGGAGGAGGCAGCAGGTTGCAAACAAAGAACAAAAGAAACGCTAAGTATAGAAGAGGAATACTGACTTTCTAAACTACCATTACAAAATGGTCACATGGCATCTGCTATGAGAATTAGCTTGAAAAGCCTGTGGTCGCCTCTAAAACGTGATTAAGGGACACTTCATGGGGTCTTTTCAACTCTTATTTTCATGAGACCCATCCTACGAATAATTACAAACTCACTCAAAATGTCATTCGCAGACCTTCTCAACACATTACTGATTCGTAGTGTGGGACACAATGGCTCTGAAATGACATTCTGTTTTGATGACCTTGCAAATCATGTACGTTTTTTCCCCCGGCTAAGCTGAAACGGTTTGCTGACAGTGTGACCCCTGTATAGGGAACCTATGAAACTTGGCATTAAGCAAATGTGTAAAAATAGGCTAGCTGACTCTCGAGGGCTCAGCGGTTGAGCGCGTGCTGATAGCGACAGGAGCGTTTGTGCCGGTCTCAGTATGCTAGAAGTGTAGATGCCATATTTAATGTGGTTTTTTGGCTTGTATTACTTGAGAAGCAAAATGTTATTCATTGAATTAAAAATTGATTTAGAGTAATTAAACATACAAAGAATTCCACTGGAAATGTTCAAGGTTTTGTTTGCTGAACACACCAGTGTACACTGGATGTTGCTGTCCCGTGCAACACGACCAGGTTGAGGATGCCATATGACTTTAAAATGGACCACCGTTGAGTGATCCGCTGTGTTTTCATTCAAAGCGCATTTCCACTCACACCTGAGGGTACAACAGCTGAGTACATATCAGACCAAGCAGCATTTCCCATCATGGCTGACGGTTCCCTCATTTAGCATCAGTGAAGGATCAAGTTGATGATCCTTTTTTGAGACGTATGAATAAAACAATGATCAGTTTGAATCAACTGATAATAAGTCCAGTACAGAATCTCACAAAGCCTGTCTGAAAAATGTCCAGGTCATATCTCACCCCCCCAAAACAGAATATTTTGCAGTATTTTTAAATAAAATGGAGCCTAGTTTAGTACCAGTTTTCATTTGTTGATATTGATATTTATCGCACTTAAGGTTCATATTAATTATATGAATTACCATGTTTTAGTCTACCTCAAGGGCATCCAAGATGTAGGTGTCTTTGTTTACACAGTATTTTCAATTTTGATATTTTTAGGTCAAACCGTTCTTGTCTGTCAGTCATATAATGGAGGTATATGGGGTCCACCTCAAAGAGCATGCACGGAGAAGTCCAAATTAAACATGATTTAATGACTCGTAAATGTAAGTACACATTGATGACCTAAGACACGAAACGAGCGGTTTGTGTGACAAAACGAACAGTATTTATATCGTTTTTACCTCTTGTAATCACAGTCACGTCCAAGTGATCTGAGGGCGCGGGCGCTTCGGTCTGCGCAAGCGCCGGAAGTGATCTCTCGCGCGTGTGTACATCGCTCATTGTTTGCACAGAGATTTCGGAAGCGTTACCCTTCATTGTGAAGATCTAAACATATTTAGATATACAGGAAATCGCAATGGAAGACGATTTCAATATATTAAAAGACAAGGTTGAATATTTTTCGCAACCGCGCGAGAGATCACTTCCGGCGCTTGCGCAGACCGAAGCGCCCGCGGCCTCAGATCACTTGGACGTGGCTGTGGTTACAAGAGGTAAAAACAATATCAATACTGTTCGTTTTCTCACACAAACCGCTCATTTCGTGTCTTAAATCATGTTTAATTTGGACTTCTCTGTGCATGCTGTTTGAGGAGGACCCCCATAGACCTCCATTATATGATTGACAGACAAGAACGGTTTGACCTAAAAATATCAAAATTGAAAATACTGTGGAAACAAAAACACCTACATCTTGAATGCCCCTGAGGTAAGCTAAAACATACCAAAAATTAATTTCAGAGTAAACTATCCCTTTAATGCGATTTGAAAAATACATATTTTGCATTATTTTAGTATTTGTTGTCCCATAAAGAAAAAAAAAACAATGAATAATTCAGAGTAATTCTCATTACAGTACTGAAAATCATCATCAAGAATAATAAGAATTATAAACAAAAGTAAAACGTCTGGGTCCATTACAGGAATGACAGCATTTTCTTTTACATTATGGTCTGATGAGAATGTCGTGAAAAACACATGATGCTAAAATATACATTTTCTTTACGCAAAATATATAACTTTTTAATTAGTACTGAAATTTGTCTACAGATATGTTGTGATTCACCCTAGTATGCGATTCAGTTGATGCAGCACAGCCCCAAACGAAAAAAAAAGAAGAACTGGCTTACAGATCTAAAACACACGACATTCGCCCACCACAGGGCTTCCCACTTTCCCTTGAGTAAGATGCTTCCTACTGGCAAAAGACAAATAAAGAGTGGTTGGAAGCATCATACATGCGTATCATCTGACATCACTCCCTCTTTACAAATATTATCTGATACTATACAGACAGGATTAACAGTACAACTTGTACGCATTTGCTGTTTCCTTTTGGTAGAGGTATTGAGCAATACTGCTCATTTGGCAGAAACCAAAGAAAATGATAGCAGACAGCATCTCCCTTCCCTTTTTATGAGAGTTTCTCGAATTTTAGTGAAGGATAGCCTCATCCAGAGACAACGCTAGCACTGGTTGCAGTCATTTGGGCTTGAGCCAAGACAACTTGGCTACTCCATCGCATGTGTATTTAGACATGACGGTTCGTGTACTACCGAAATCAACACTTTAAAATGTGTCAGTGACACAGGATAAACAGTAAGGTATACCTCACAATACTACAGCAAAGATTGTGCATCGATTTCCAATACAGCAGCACTACGCTAACATATCTGCTTTAATATAAAATGATTTCCTTCTACTCGCTGATTACGTTTGGGAAATCTACGGTGAGATGGGGAAACCAGCCCCTTTGTTTTGTTTGCTGGTCCATTCTTCAGGACTGAAAGTAGGTTCCCGATTAAGACTAGTCACTCAAGACTCTCTTTGTTCACAGTACAAGCCATCAAGGACTATCGGACTATCTGAAGAGGACAACATATAAGAAACAGGGTGAAATGGAGAACATGCTAAGGTAAGGAAGTAGGCTATATTGAGGATCTAGTAACCAGAACTCAAAAACTGTTTGTCCTTTCCTGACACCAAAACAGTGGTACTAAGAGGAATGTAGGGAACCAATGCAGTATTGTAAGACTGAGGAACTATGGTGAGAGACTTGACTAAGTCAATAGACTAAAGACCAAGTCTATCAAACAGCAAGAACTCCCCCATTGGTCTGGTCTTAGATGGATTTAAACAGGCGATTCTTCAACTATAACCAATACTGTGGGAGGACCAGAGGTTTCAGGAAGTGGAACTTGAACCTGTGCAGCTGCTACTGATGTTGAGTCATTTGGGGAAGGTTGGTTAATGCATGGACCCTCAGGCTCTTTTCCAAGACGCATCGGCATCCTGACATTCCACTGCTGACAGTGCGATCAACATCTGTGCTGCATAGTAGGTCGCCATTATGATGGCTCGAGAGTGGGGTACAGGGAAGCAGAACTTGTTGACGGCAATGGTGAGGTCGGATACCATGAAGAGGACGGCTCCGAGGCAGGCCGACAGCTTCGTCCAGGTCCACAGGTCATTGGCGAGCTGGACTCCAGCAATGGCCCTCCAGCCCATGAAGCCGATCAGAGCAATGTAAACGGCCACCAGGTAGGTAAAGGGACCAGAGAGGTAGGGGTAAAGAAGGGTGTAGCTGAGGCCTGAGATAACAGCGATGACCAGACCTGCTCTTGAGTTGATGGGCTTCATCCCAAAGGCCGAAGAGTAGAGAATGTGGGTGATGGCGAACATTAGCAGTCCTGTCAAGGCAAATTCAACTGAATTGAGTATTCAATGAAAGCATCATAATGAAAGAAGGGGGTGTCCAAACTAGGGATGCACGACATATCGGCCACCCTATCGGTATCGGCCCACAAGTAATGAATTATTTCCTTCAGCTGAGACTCTTCAGATGTATGATTGGAATCACTTAAAAAAAAAAAGCAAGTCAGTGCAGAACATCATTGTAATTGTGTCCTTGGGACATGGATTTTAATCTTTATGAAACTTTAGTTTTTGTAACCAGGCTCTCAAAAATGATATAAACATTTGGATACAGATTTATCGGCCAGTTTAGAATTATCGATATCGGCCAAAATGTTTGTATTGGTGCATCCCTATTACAATCCTGCTCCTGGAGGGAAACCTTCCTGCAGAGTTGACCTACAACACACAATAACTTTCAAGCAATCCTGAAAACCCAGAATAGCTTCGGATATGATAAAGATCAACGCTGCAGGAAGGTCTCCGGGAGCAGGATTGGACACTCCTGAATGAAAGAATTTCACATTGATATCTCTTGTACAGGATATATCAAGACACGTGTTAGTCTTTGTACCATAACCCCGTTGTTTAATCCAAAGGAAAACTTGAGTAACTCTGTGGTTCCCAAGGGTATCTTTGGGCAAGAACGGTTTGTCCCAACCCTCAACCTTGACCAAAAAAAAAACATCATTGGACCTCTACACTACTGTCTCAGTACAAGAGGCGCTGATACAGGCATGATAGTTCGGGGTTGGAACAAAAAACTTCTTGCTTGAGAGTGGAGACTTGCATAAAACCAGTCCGCTTTCAAGCTACACTGTGTGGTTTTTACCCCATTTAGCGGTGAAAAGGTATATGACCATCCAGGGAATATTAGTTTTTAACTAACTCCTACGCTGGCCAATGTAGTCCAAGATTAACATGGCTTCCAGTTCGACCTCGTGCGTGAGTGTTAACTCAAAAATTAACGCGAAAGGCGAAGCTTGAATTAAAGGGTATGTCCCTCTTTGGCTAATGTACTTTCAAGATGGAGGGGCAACATGGCGACCGACATTAGAACCCCTTACCCGTATGTATTTTCAATGGCATATTATACACTCACGAGAATACTTTATTACTTGAACGAAGTAAATATACATTAATGAGCACATATATTTTTGAAAGAACTAAGTGTTTTTAGCTAAGAATAAACTAAAAGAGTTAAACAGTGTAGCTTTAACTAATTTAATAATTTTTGAAAGTGCTAAAGTGTTATATTGATACAGAGCTTTCGATAAACAGAATTATACATCGTTCCCTTCACATCAACACACACAGAAAATGACTCTTAATCCTTTTCTAAAAGCCTGGGAAAACCCAGACAACTTCCTGCAAATTTAGATTTGCTCTAAAAGTTGGTCTGGCAAAGAGCTCATTCAAACCCATTTCCAATCCGTCGAAATCGAGGCACCAATCAGAAACGTTGGGGCGGGCTTTACACGATGATGACAGCGCTAGGATTTTGAAGCAGATTTTGTAGCCTACATTACAAAGATGGATGCCGCCGTCGAACATCACTCGTTCGAATCAGCTATCGCGTCTGTTTTAAGCGAATTGAACGTTTCCTTTTTATTAAAAACCGAGCAAAGAACAACACTCGGAGATGTTTCTCCGCCGCTCTGCATATGTCAACTTCTTCATCGCTCTGGGGTGCGTTTCCCGAAAGCATCGTTAGCCAACTATGGTCACAAGTTGGTCGCAATTTCCATTGAACTCTATTGGTAACGACGGAACTTGCGACCATAGTTGGCTAACGATGCTTTCGGGAAACGCACCCCTGATTGGTTTTAGGTCTATCCGCGATGTCGGTTGGCGACGCCCCTCTGGAAATGATTTGTCTATGACGCTTTGCCGGACCATAACTCTGTTACAACTGAGAATGGTCTTGTTTTAACCAGGCTACTTTTCTAATCAAATCAGAGTAAAACAAATGTATTAACTCACCGTGACTAAAGTAGCCTTGTTCTTGCCAGATGAGAAATGCGTCACCCAAAGCTGAAAAAATAAGTCCTGCCAGGATTTTCCTGGCACTGGAGTGGGCACCTAAAAAGCTGAAGCCATGAGCGAGCAGAAAAACCCAAAGACAGAAGATGGGCAGGCATTTGATGAGGGCACTGTACCAGGTGGGGCTCGAGGTGGGCAACCACAGAACAAAGTAGACGCAAGTGGCTTTGAAGAATGGAACAAGCTTTGGACCCTCGCTCTTGACCTGTAGGACAAAAGAGAGATTGAATCTGCATTCAGTGAAACACACTATCACGTGAGTCAGAAAGACTGACACAGAGCTCCTTTTACATTTAACAATTGGAGGTGATAAAAATACTCCAGTGAAATGTGATCCATGCGGAATATGAATATGACAATTGTTAAATCTCAGAAAGGATACCAAACCCAATATGTCTGGGTAGGAAGAACTGGGCATTGTTCTATCCAAGACAGTTTCAAGTTTCAAGTTTTGAGCACATTTAAAAACAACAGTAGTTGACCAAAGTGCTGTAGATGAAGGGTCATAAAACAAACAACAATAATAAGGATGAAGTATTGACTTACACCCACATACACAACTATTTAAGAACATACAGCTTGTTTCGTGACCCATAGGGTCAAATGAGTCTGATTACACAACCTCCCCATTACAAAACTGGGTGATTCTAGACTTCACACCACATTAAACAGTAGCTGTCATAAATGCAACATGTGTAATCTTAAAATTATATTTCATACAGAAATGTATGTGTAACTAATACATGTAGAACTGGATTTTTATCATATTCTCAAGTAGGGTTGTCAAACGATTAATTGCGTTTAATCGCATCCAAAATTAAAGTTTGTGTTTACATAATATATGTGGGTGCATTGTGTATAATTATTTTATATATATATATATATATATATATATATATATATATATATATATATATATATATATAAATACACACACATGCTTGTATATATTTAAGATAAAAATATATAATATTGTTTATATATAAAATATTTATATATAATATAAATTATATATAAATCTCTATACAGTATATACATGAAAATATTTCTTAAATACATACAAGCATGTGTGTGTATTTAAATATATATATATATATATATATATATATATATATATATATATATAAAAAATTATACACCGTGCACCCACATTATATACTTTGTAAACACAAACTTTTATTTTGGATGCGATTAATCGTGATTAATCGTTTGACAGCCCTAGTTTTAACATATTATTACTTGTAATCATTAATATGAACTCATTTCATTTATTTATTTTAAATAGTTAAAATTATATATATATATATATATATATATATATTACAACAAAATAGTTTTTGCTACAGTACCGAAAATGGTACCGAGAACCGTGAAATTTGACTGGTATTGGTACTGAGCAAAATTTTGGTACCTTGAAAAATCCTATTCTCATGACAAACAGGTTTTGTTCTACTACAGTATACTGTATAATGTTTTGGGATGTTGCTAGATGGCTTCTATGTGTTGCTAAGTGGTTGCTGAGGTTGTTTTCCAGGTGGACGCAATACGATTTTTTGAACATTTGCAGAAAATTTGCGCAAATTGTAGGTCATGTTCTTTAGAAGAGTAAATATCAATAACAACCCCATAACAGTAACTATGTATAATAATAACAAGATGTGTTACATAACACAACTGCTTCAATGAACTATATTAACTGAAGGTGGGAAAAAATGTTATTGTCCTAATCCTCTTCTTAGTCCATGACAGTTGGTCTTGGCTTAGTCTTGGAATTTGTAGTTTGAGCTTTAGCCCGTGGGGGAAGTGGAAAAAGGCTATTGTTAGACAGCGTACATTTTAATCAGATTCTGGTGTACCCCGCAGTCTGAGAAAGGTCACACTGAAATACAGAGACTTTTAATTTCAAGCCAGTTGATGTGAAGAGATGGTGCACACAGCTGGAGCTCTTTATAAATGTGGTGCAGTTCTTTAAAATGGATGTGGTAAAACTTTGTGGTTATAAATATGCTGATAAAGAAAAGGTTGTTGTACATTCGAACCTCACAAGGAATGATCCATTCACTACAACCAGTGTGCTGGTGGGACTGTCCTAGTAATAGCTGTATGAAATGTCTGTTTACTAAAAAGTGAGTAGTTCACTTTAAAAAAAAAAACAACTTTTGCTGATAATTTACTCACCGCCATGTCATCAAAGATATCCATGTCATTGTTTCTTCAGTCGAAAAGAAATTAAGGTTTTTGATGAAAACATTCCAGGATTTTTCTCCATGTAATGGACTTCAATGGGAACCAAACGGTTCAAGGTCCAAAAGACAGTTTCAGTGCAAACTGTTCAAAGGGCTTTAAATGACACCAGACGATGAATAAGGGTCTTATCAAGCGAAACGATCGCCAATTTAAAAAAATAAATAAATAAAGTTTTATAAGCTCAAATGGTCACCTTGCTCTGTTCTGTGATGTGCATTCGTGACTCTCCTCTTCGAAGTCGTTTAAAAAAAATGAACGAATCTTTTTTCCTGTCATTTGGTTAATTCAACGAACTAAATAAACGAGTCATGACTCGATTTGTTCATTTTGATGAACGAGTTCGAACAGGAGAGTCACGAACGCGCATCACAGAACAGAACAAGGCGACCATTTGAGCTTGTAAAACTTAAACTTTGTTAACTTTTTTTTTTTTTTTAATGAGCGAGCGTTTCACTTGATAAGACCCTTTATTCATCGTCTGGAATCGTTTAAAGCCCTTTGAACAGTTTGAAGTTTGCACTGAAACTGTCTTTTGGACCTTGAACTGTTTGGTTCCCAATAAAGTCCATTATATGGAGAAAAATCCTGGAATGAAGAAGTAAATTATCAGCTTTTAACTGAAGAAGTAAATTATCAGCAAAAGTTTTTTTTAAAAGTGAACTACTCCTTTAATAAACTCATTTAAAATAACCCAATTTGCTAAATAAAATAGATAACAATATACAGTTCATTAGGCTGTGGGGCATGTTGTCACACCACAGTTTCACAGAAATAGTCCCAGACTAAAATGCATGTTGTGCTCTTTGAATCAAAAAGCAACTTGCTCTAACATGTCTCAAATGTCAATGACATTGTTTTGTCTCACCAGTAATGCCCCCCCCCCCCTTCTAATGCATGTTTATAAAAATCTACTTAAATGTCCTAATTTTATTGAGGCCTAATTCTGGCTTAATCTAAGCCCTATCTGTGAAACCAAGCCTACACGGGATAAGTTGTCACAGTGAGAACCTGCAGTTTTTCAGGGAAATAATGAAACCGTAAAACATCTATAAAGCTCAAAACAATGTATTGTATGTAAAAAGTCAAAAAGCCTATAAAATATCAAACTAGTTTGGCCAACTAAAACACGCGATAACTCGCCCCTATTTCATATTTATGAAAAATAGTCTGAGAACATATTTAGTTGGTCATACACAATATAATTTTAAACAACAACAACAACAACAACAAAAATCATTTAGTGAAAAGAGATGCTGAAAACACAGTACATTTGAAACAAAAGGTTTTGCTGAAACAGTGCAACTAGATCACTTCAGAAACCGCATGAACTCACGCTCTTCCAGGCAGAATGCATACATGAAATCTGCACACACTCCACAACCTTCTGGAAGGACTTCTGCAGCTTTATTATGAAAGAACTTTACAAGGACTTTACATTGAAGTGGGAAAATGTTGTGTTTTGTTTTTTTAGAAAACAAAGTAAAGAAGATATGTTTTTTATTATAAATTTACTAATTGTGCAAGCTAAATTCTATATCCACAAATGCAAATATATAAAACAAAAACCGGCATTTAAACATTTTTATTGTGATATGTTATCATATATAAAATTAATTAGTGGTTCTTTGAACAAAAAGGCTATGAAAACGAGAAATATTTGTATTACTTACAATTTGTTTGAATGTATGTGATACCCCCTGGCAAGGGTAATATTAATGTTGTATGCTTTGTATACTTTGTATACTGTTGTTTTCATTTGCAATAAAAAAAAAAAAAAAAAAAAAAAAAGAGGAATGAAGGATCGTCACGAGTGTTTCTACTGAATAAAGCCCTTTGAAAGCAGAGAAAATGGGGACATACTGAGAATGCAGACCTTGCAGAGCAAATTGCACAGTGCTAACTTAATTATAGATCAATGGAATCTTTGCATAAATAAACCATCATATGGCACATGGTTAGTCGAGGTAAAGTAAACATGAGCATGCTGGCCATAATCACGTGCTCATTGTTATTCCCAATATAACAGACTCAAGGATGCATGGACACAAATATAAAATAAAACAAACAGTGATGTCAGCGTATGTGTATTGTTCTTCTTAACAACAAAAACAAGTCACTATAAGCATAATTTTTTTTTAAATATTTATATGACGTGGTTTGCAGAGGTAATCAATGCATGAATTCGAAATTAAAAATGTCACTTCAAAAATGTATGAATGCATCTCAATTTAACTGATATCACGTCTTTATGAAGTGATAATGTCGATTAGACATTGGTGTTTTAATGAAAAGCTTATTTACTAGACAAAATAGGTAACATATACATACCACAGTGACCGGAGAAACCATCTTTATCTGAGGTTGAATTGCAAAGGGAAAGATGAACAGATCGGTCGTGGCGAACAGAGAGCACCCGCTTATATTTACGTCCCTTTGTATGCGCGATTTGTTTTTGTCTTGTGTTTGGGACAGGCCATCATCAGTGGGAGGAGAGAAGTCAGCTGTACTGTGGCCCGCCAATCAGAACGCGTGAAAGTGTTTACAACGCAGACGTGTGGGCGGGGTTTACCTGCATCACAAGTGTCTAAACTGGAACTGTTTCTTCCTTTTATCGTGTCTTTAGTGTTTGATTGTCAACGGCTGTTTCTATATATATATATAATGTGACTTCTATAAAAAGAAATTCAGGATGTTAATAAAACGATATTTAGTTAAGTAAACAGACCGCATAATTGTTTCGTGGATCTATATCGACACCGTGTGGTGGCATTAACAATATTGCGTCATTCTTTCATTTTCCCTGAACAAGTCAAGACAAAAACAAAAAAACAAAAAAACAAGTCAAGACAAACCCACGAAGTTCCTTTTAACTAACAAAATTAAAGAAGTCTCATTCAAGTTACTACACAGGTTTTACCCCACAAATGTTTGCTTAAATACGTTTAAGAATGACATTGATGTAAAATGCTCCTTTTGTGCTCCTGAAACTCTCACATTTATTTTGGTCTTGTGAATTCACATAGAAGTTCTGGAAAGACGTTTTAGTTGAAAATATCCATTCTGGGTTCTCCCAGTACTACAAAAATGTCATTTTTGGTTGTTTTAGTGACTGTGGGAAGGACAGTAGTGCACTCTTTCTAGTAAACCTAATCTTATTTGTTGCCAAATTCCATATACATAAATGTAAAATCAGTAATAAAAAAAAAAAAAAAACTTTTTTTCTGTGCTAAAAACTGAAATGGAACAGTATATTTCAACCATGTCTTCTATGCAGAACAAAAAAGTTGTTAAAACTGTGCTTAATTGTTCTACTTTTAATGTGTTTATTTGATTACAAATCTTGTTTTTTTTATTTTTTTGGTGGGTATTTTTTATTTATTTTACTTTTGCTACTTTGATTGTACTGTTGATTACTTTAAAAAAAGTGTGAAATGATGTGTCGGTATCGCAAGTCGGCTATATAATAAATATTTAGCATGCAAAAAGAAAATACGTGCTATAACCAAAGAGTAATAACGTTCTTGTATGTATGTTTCTTTTGTTTGTTATTTTTTTGTTTAGAGACCTCCATTATTTATTTTATGTTCATTGTATTCTATGTATTGGATAATTTGTTTTGGTTTAGATTACCTGTTATTTAGTTGCATTTAAAATCTCATTGGCTGTCAAAAATAACAAAAACAAGGAAACACAAGAAAAAGCACGTGATAAAATGTGTATGGACTTATCTTTTGTTTAAAACGTTCGTTTGTTTTGTTGTTTGTGGTCTAACTATTTCCGGTCTGAGTTAACTGTAACGAATCAAAACTTTATAAAAAAAAGTTGCGAAAGAAGATAGAAGATAAAGTAGAAAATTGAAAAAGGAAGAAGAAGAAAAACAGAAAACGCATGCCCTTAACAACCGGACGTGACGTGAAAATATGTACCGGATGACGTGGGCTTGGTTGTCGTTTCTAGAGAACGCAAATCTCACAAGAGGATTTCAATGTTCACGATGTTTTACAGCGTTTCTCTTTAATGTCGTTTAATGACAATTTAGGGAAAGTGATACGGTATCACTGAACAAAAACAGAACGGAACTTTTTATTGTTAATCTGGCAAGCTCCCCGTTGTTTAACGGTTTAAATGGACAGCAGCTGATCAGATATGACGCCCAGAAGCTGAAGGCATTAAAACCACATAATGGTTTTCTTTTTTTAGTTACTTTCTGCTTACTCATTTGATTTTAACATCAGGGTAGATATCAGTTGACTCTTAGATCGTGTTTGCGGGCTCAAAGGCTGGCTGAGGTGAGTGTTTGTCGACTGGATAGTGGTAGCTATTGCTATTAGCTAAAGAAGTGAGCTGTGGACAGTGAGGGACCATGGATTTCGACAATGTGCTTTCCATCGCCACTCAGAATCGAGGGCTCAGCGTCGTACCGGTATGTATGAGGAAAAATATGCGATTAAAAATTATATAACATCATTTTGTCTGTGAGGCAGATTCAAATATGTGCACGCGAGGCCTTTGGTAGGTCCAACTTTATGCAGTTGTTTGATTGATTCAAATATTTTACTGCTCTAACATGTCAAACTAGCATTTTCTATGTCAATATTAATAAAATGTGCCTATATAAAACTTTTGCTGATAATTTACTCACCCCCATGTCATCCAAGATGTCCATGTCATTGTTTCTTCAGTCGAAAAGAAATTAAGCTTTTCGATGAAAACGTTCCATATAATGGACTTCAATGGGAACCAAACGGTTCAAGGTCCAAAAGACAGTTTCAGTGCTAACTGTTCAAAGGGTTTTAAACAATTCCAGACGATGAATAAGGGTCTTATCAAGCAAAACGATCGCTCAAAGGGTCGCCTTGCTCTGTTCTGTGATGTGCGTTTGTGACTCTCCTGTTCAAACTCGTTCATCAAAATGAACAAATCTTTTCCAGAGTTAACTCGTTCATTTCGTTCGTTAAAATGAACCAAATGACATGAAAAAAGATTTGTTCATTTTGATGAATGAGTTCGAACAGGAGAGTCACAAACGCGCATCACAGAACAGAGCAAGGCGACTATTTGAGCTTATAAAATTTAAACGTTGTTATTTATTTATTAAATGAGTGATCGTTTCGCTTGATAAGACCCGTATTCATCGTCTGGAATCGTTTAAAGCCCTTTTAACAATTTGCACTGAAACTGTCTTTTGGACCTTGAACCGTTTGGTTCCCATTGAAGTCCATTATATGGAGAAAATCCTGGAATGTTTTCATCAAAAACCTTAATTTCTTTTCGACTAAAGAAAGAATGACATGGACATCTTTGATGACATGGGGGTGAGTAAATTATCAGCAAAAGTTTTTTTTTTTTTTTTAAAGTGAACTACTCCTTTAAGGCTTATGTAACTTTATACACATATGCTCATATATACACATATGCTCATATACACAAATGTTCATATACACAACGCTAAAGTGTCATTCTGTGTCAACTCAACCAGAGGTTTCCGAATGATTTATTTATTTATTTCATGTTGATCATTTTTTTCCTAGTGAAAGCTTTACATAAATGAAGAAGATCCCCATATCATGATGTGATTTAACTACACAAGGCCTTGAAAATGAAGATTTCAAAAGAAAAGTTTAAGAATCAGTTTAAATCATATTAAGATATCTTTTAATACTTTTTGAGTTACAGGCACACAAACTTTGTAAAAAGAATATTCATGGCACACTGACAGGTATACTCTATGCAGTTGTGTTGATAGAAAAGAAAAGAGATACATTTCTATTTATTCTTTAGTTATTCATCTTTAAAAGAAAACTGTATCAGCTGTATGCGCTGTGACCCACATTTGGTTTTCGACCACTGAAAATGTTTACAATTTACTCATGGAGCCACATTAAAATGAGCTGCATAAACAAATTTAACCATATAGGGTCTTTAAAATGATGATACAAAAATGTTTGTTAAAAATCTGAATCTAAAAGGATATTAACAGATCTTTAATCATTCTTGAGTTTCAGGCATGCAAACTTGGGGCAAAAAATACACACTTAGTGCTTTTCCCCATTTTCGGAATGGGGAAGTAACTGAAATTTGGTAGATTTGACATGGAATGACTCTTTCAATGATTTCTGTCTTTTATAGAAACGGTATAGCTTGAAAACTGGACCACCCAAGAAAGATGAAAGAGTCAAAGGTGTTAATTCGGCTGCGGTGCAAGCCTTCTTGAAAAAACAGGCCATGGACCAAAGGAAAAAAGGTACTTTTTACTTTGTAATATTTGTTTAGCTATATATAACATAACTTCTTAAAGCCTGCCAGCCAAGTCATTGTTTATGTCCTCATGTCACTACAAACCCAGTGGACCACAAAAGATTGCTCTTTTCCATATGATTAAAATGAATGGGTACCGATTTGGTCAAGATGACGACCTTAAATTGCCATAAAAGTAGCCCTTGCTACTTATATTTAGACATCATGGCAAGGTTGATCCGATTTCATTATAAAACAACCAACTGCTTGTAGACTGTTAAAAAAAAATTGTAAATCAATGATAATAAATAAAATCAAGACCTCAGATCTGTCGTGTGTGTCAGGGGATTTATAATACGTTTAAAGTTGTTTTCTATAAATAAAAATGTATTGCTTATATAAATCAAATGTATTATGTATTAAAATATTATTATATCAAAATAAATACTTTAGTCAAAATCATTCAGTTGCCTTTCTCTGCTGCACTTCTGTCTGTTAAATGCTCTCTTAACATTTGCAGATAAAATGTAACTGCAACTTGACAGCACATTAAATGGCACACACACCTGAAAAGGTAGCCCACATGAAACTAAATGGTTGTTTTCTTCTTTGTAATCCTCCCATGCTTTTGACTATTCAGGCTAGAGCATGCAATTATTTAATACTTTTTCAAATACATTTTTCTCCATGGAAATGCCCCTTTATGAACTAAAAGTGATATCGCTCAGGATTTTTAGGGCCAATCACCAATTATTGATCACTGGGAGCAGTACTGGCCAATAATGATCACCAAAATAAATAATAGGCCAACTATTCTTAATGTTTTAAAAAATAAATTAAAATAAGAAATAAAAAGTATGAATAGCCAACTCTATTTATAGAGTGCCGAAGTGATGACGTCACTTTGTAGGACAACTCGGAAGCTAGCGGCGCATGGGTTCCCTCAGTCGAAAAGCAATGCATTTTTCCCATTGACTTTTGGAAAATCGCAAAAAATAAGATCTGTGTTTAACAAAGAGTTGTGACCCTTACACGTTTTGTCTAGCAAGACAATCTTTACAAGTTAATCCAAAATGTATACATTTTGAAGCCTATATAAACATTTTTAAAAACACAGACACAATAAAGTAAAAAAAAACACAAGCAGGTTATAACTGTGTGTTTTATGTCATAGATCAAAACGTGAAAATATTTAGAGGCTTTGTTCACCACAGACATTATTTCAGGCGCTTTAGCAAAAACCCATTCAAAAATCACATAGGCTTTAGAGCAAGGGAACCGGTAGTGTTAAAGGACAACTCCGGCGCAAAATGAACCTTTAGTCTAATTACACATTGTTACCTAGTCAACCGTTATCTGAGATTTGTTTTCATGATTGCCGAATGTAAATAGTTTTATCTCTAAAAACAGTTTAGCCTATAACGCTAGTATAATGCTAGTATATAGGGCATAGAGCAGGGCTATTCAATTAGCTTCATTCGAGGGCCGCATTATTAAATCGAAAAGTTGAGCTGGGCCGGTGGGTTTGGCTTATTTATTGAAACATAACAGTATCATTAAGTAAGCTAAAGTAAACAAAAAAAAAAATGGTTTTGCATTTAATAGGAAATGTGGTACTCAACAGTATGCAGACCATAATAAATAACTTTTTTACAGCTATATACAAATATATTGAATTATACAATATCATAGCTATTGGCTATTGGTAAGAATTATTTTATTAATAATTATTAAAGGCTTAAATTAAAATATCCTGACAGTGAGACTTGTGGCTCACTACTGTATAAAAATGCCTAAATAGGTAAACAATTATACACACAATGAATTATATATTCCTCTACCCCCCTAATAAATCTAATGCAAAATAAATGACTATTACATAGTATTCAATATAAATATTCCACATTTCTGCCCAAACCATGGTAAATTATTACATTCATAGTAAATGTTTGTAAGGGTGGTGATTATGGCATTTATAGCTTCTAACTTTGTTCATGTTTCTGCTATTTACCTCATCAATAGTGTCGCGAATGTTAAGGCTGTTTCATCCGATTTAAAACTAGATAAAATCATTGAGGGATTTGTGGTTTGTAACAGAGAGGAGTGTCGATTGAAACGCTTCTCAATGGATGTCGAAACGCTGTTTAATAATAGTATCCGGGACCGGGAGTAAACGCAACTCCTTTAAGCTTGCGTTCCGTTATCCACTGGACCGTGCTGCCTAGTTCAAAGTAAACTAGTGAAACAACTGAAACCAGCACTATTTTGTTCTCTATTTGTTCTTACTGACCGAGAAACCGCTTAAGATGATTCAGTGACAGAAAGGTCCGAACGAATCCGAATCGTTTCCGACCGTTATGCACGCACGTTTGGCCAATTTATGAAAAGGAAATAGGAATCGATCCAACGAATGATTAATATCGCTGGTTCAGTCGACAGAAATACGGGACGCACTGCTGAAATATTCGGACTGAAAACGTTTCTCTCAGGTCAGTCGGAGCGCTCATGGTACACACACAGTGCGTATAGTCATCCAGCTGCACGCGCCACTGCGGCCACGCGCAAATCAAACCAAATTTAGCCACACCACCAGAAAATAGGAGGGGGAGGTTGGAGTGCTTTCGGGCCGCATGGAGATGATCGGCGGGCCGCACTTGGCCCGCGGGCCGCCAATTGAATAGCCCTGGCATAGAGTAATGACAAAAAAAAATCGCTTGTTATTACCACTAAAAAGGCTCAAAATAGCCCCACACTAAAACGACAGCATAAAAAGAGTCCCTACATTCAAACCGAAGCATTGAGAACTTTGTCAGTGTCCATACAGTTTAATAAGCAGATGTTTTATACACACAGTAAATTTCGCGAATTCAGGAAGAAGCCATCTTGGAAAAATAGTCTCTACCAGTCGATCTACGAACGCCGATCCAAGTGCGCTGGTGAGATGTGAATAAGGTGATAAGGTGAGCGCGAACAGTAGGCTACGTGTACATACTGAAGAGAAGAAAATGGTTTGTGTTTGTGTTTCTTCTGGAAACAACGGATCATATGAGATTCTGCACAGTTCAGCGCACTTGGATCGGCGTTCGTAGATCGACTGGTAGAGACTATTTTTCAAAGATGGCTTCTTCCTGTTTTCGTGAAATTTACTGTGTGTATAAAATATCTTCTTATTAAACTGTGTGGACACTGACAAAGTTCTCAACGCTTCGGTTTGAATGTAGGGACCCTTGTTATGCTGTCGTTTTGGTGTGGGGCTATTTTGAGCCTTGTTAGTGGTAATAACAAGCGATTTTTATTTGTCATTACTCTATGCCCTATATACTAGCATTGAACTAGCGTTGTAGGCTAAACTGTTTTTAGAGATAAAACTATTTACATTCGGCAATCATGAAAACAAATCTCAGATAACGGTTGACTAGGTAGCAATGTGTAATTAGACCAAAGGTTCATTTGGCGCCGGAGTTCTCCTTTAAAATGCTAACTCACTTCCGCATTTCGGCCTACAGAGTGACTTCGTAACTTCGGCACTATATTGGCAAGCAACATTTTAAGTCCCTCTCTAAGAGGTGATCAGGAACAGCTTAGAGCTTAGCAAATATAGCATTACTGTGAAAAAATCATCAGCAGCCATCTTTATCAACAGAATAATTAAGTATTAAGTAATAAAGTATAATAATTAAGTATTCACTGTATAAATTAAATCTAGATTAATCCTGCTGTCTTTATCTTTTAATGACACAGACCTCAGCAGGAATATTAGGCTGCCGTCACTTTAAGACAGAATGCACAGATCCAATATACTCTTACACATCTGTCTCAACCCAATGGTTTGTGTTTACTTAAGACATAACCGATGGTGTTTTATGCCAATACTCTCCTAGCTAGAATACATATTTCTGTATTTATCAGTTTAGGCTGGAAACCAAAGCTAAAAGTTGACTTTGCTTGGTTGGATTTGGTCTGGCTTTAACTATAAACAGGAGACTCTTCCCAAAACATCCAGATAACATGTTATTTCTCTCAGTAAGAAGACTCTGTAATAAAGAACAGTAAAGTAAATGCTTTCATTATGAAATGCTCACTCAAACTTTTGGTTCCAATGACCCTTATGAACTATTACTGTCATGGTGAGCTAGAAGAACAGGGGCCTATACCATGGCATGAAGCCGGCTTAGGTGGCTAGTCAGCTATGTTTCAGTTTAGTTTGTGCCAACCCTGGGTTTTAGGTACCATGAAAGTGGTTTGGTCATCGCCATAGTAACTTGCACTCCACGGCTAACCTGGTCTGGGACAGGTTATGTTCCAGGTAAGAGGTTGCAAACCGAACTTGGACCAATCAGCTGTGAGCAAAGTGACGCATGTCTAACGCGATAAAGTCACTCCACAGCAAATGAATTTAAAAGACAAAATCATGGCTTTTAGTAAGTAAATTTGTATGATTTAGAAATTATTTCTGTAATTATTATACCCTAAAATGATCTCACATGTACAATTTCAGTTATTCAATTCAAGTATTATTTTGCAGATTTTAAATGAATTCGTACAGTATATAAAGGTAATATAAATACGCTTTAGAATCAATAAATGAAGCTATACAATAATTACATGTGAGCTTGAATGTTCAATTCTCTCTATACCTTTTACTTGCACTGATATACAGTAGCGAGACTTTCTTTTAGTTGTCCTCTTTTCACAAACAGCTATTTTCTTCTTGCTGTGTAAATTTGTTTGAATTCTTAATATTTTAATACTTTTATTTCAATTGTTAATTGCGCTACTTCTCTCGGGAGAAATTCATTCTGGTGAGTTTTGAATGAGTTTCACTCTTTCTCGGCATGTGATTGGCTGTTCGCTACTGATGTCACAGCTAAACTCCTAAACTCAGGATCAAACCTGAGTGGACGGAGAAAGTTGATGATCAGGATCATGGTACCAACAAAGCCTGGTTGGATTGGTTTGGTTTGGTTTTGTCAACTCAACTAATCCTGCAACCCTGAGTTTGTTCAACTACCATCGTGGTACAGGCCCCAGATATATGTTTTAAAACTTGACCTTTTTCAAAATAAATAAATAGAAATAAGCCGTATTACATTTCTGGAATTCTAAATGAGAAGGCACTGTTACCACATTCCTGGCATCGGCCGGACCCTCAGTCAGACCTCATTTAATACACACATTAAAGAATACAGGTAAAGAACATTTCAGTAATAACACCTATAACAAAGTAAAATCTCATAAGCCTAGAGAAAGTCATTCAGCTAAATGAAAAATATTGATTCATACCTTGATTAGATCACTTATTAGATATACATTGAAGCAGCAGTGGATCCCAGAATCCACTCTCTTCGTTACTAATAATAGAAACCACTAAGGATTGATGAGCTGCTGGGTTCATGGATATTAATCAAGTTTGCTCGAATTGATTTGCTGAAATCAAAACGGGGACGTAATAGATGAGCGCCAGCCAATGAGATTGCCGTTTGCACATTCGTTTCTGCTTGCTGATAAAGACTGAATAATTGCAAATTAACTCGGTTCTTTTAACAGGAAAATACAGCAAAAAATGTTTACATGTTTCACCTCATTTCGGTGTCGTATGTAAAACTCTCAGTGGGTCTCATTCATGAAACATTCGTAAATATACGAGTAAATATGAGAGTGATTTGCACGTAAATAGACCTTCCCGAAAACTCTTCTCCTGATTCACAAATACTTTGTAAATGTCAGATGTGATAGTGAAATGTGGGTGTGTTAGTGAATTCCAATCAGTCGTAAATGGGATGTGCGTTCATTCTTAATTACCATAAATCCCATTATATCCGTCTGACATCTATATATAGGCATATAATAACATGAAGAAAGATTTCTCGGATGCAGAAATTGAAGTTTTATTATCAGAAGTTCATCCAAAACGGCAATTTTATTTTCAAGTGTACATAGTGGCCTATCAGGTCCTAAAAAAAGGACGCTTGGCAGCATATTACAGATGCAGTTAATGGAGTTTCATCTGTTAATCGAACAGTCCCAGAAGTGAGAAGAAAATGGCTCGACATTAAGGCTCAACAGCAAAAAACGAATTAGTTCACTTGGGAAAAATCGTATTCAAACTGGAGAAGGACCGCCATCGATCACCAGATCTGCTATTACTGGCTCTCATAATAGAAGTAAAAAGAAAAACCGTATTTATTTACCCTTTTAAAATATTTTTTTTCAAAATGCTGTTTAAATATGTAGCCTACCCGATAAGGTGAATTAAAATGCAGCCTATAAATTAAGGTGAATTAAAATGCAGGATCTTTCCTTTTTTTTTATTAATGAGCAAAACATTCGGATGTTAAGCGCACCATTAACGCGTGTAGGTTTCTTGCGTACCAACTAACATTTGAAAAATACGAACATTTTAATGAATCTGAAAATTTACGCCAGAACCACTTTACACACGATTTACACAAAAATTGGTTTTGCTCGTGTTTCATGAATGAGACCCAGTCTCTCTCTGAGTGCGTGAGAAACTCTGAGCGCTCGCAGCAAATTGTGACGGTGAGTCGTGCGCCTCACTAGTGTTCACTGTGCATGAAATGAAATGGCTCTTACAGATCGAAACTCTCAAGAGTGTTCGACATAGATTGTAGAAGTAGTTCCTCATTTAGCGATAAACTCAGTCCCCCTTCCTCTATAGTTGTTTTCGCTCTGCACGTGAGCTGCGAATGGCTCCCAAACAGAAATACGTCATCAACTAGGCTTTATCGTTATCAAGGGGAGACTAATTCTTATCGTAATATATACCTGTATTGTATATGTCGGTGTATGAATGGGTGAATGTGAGGCAAAAATTTAAAGCGCTTTGGTGACCATTGGGTCTGTGAAAGTGCTATATATAAATGCAGTCCATTTACAATTTTACCATTTTTATATCGCAAGCTATAATATATCGCCCATCCCTAATTTGGATGTTAAGTGTGGGTTTGGAAAGAAATGCACTTCGCAAAGACGTTAGAAATGTATTGTCCTTTTCAAACACCTGCTGGAACTGCCAGACCGACGAATGTAGTGAAGCAATTTTAGAAAAATTGCAAGTTTTGCACCATCTGAATGCCTTTATAGAGAACACTGCTCAAAATAAGCTAAAGATGGGCGCCCAATCCATCAGAGCACCCTCATAATCGCTTACCAGGTTATAACTATTTGTTATAATATAACAATAGCTCATTTCGTTACCGATTTTATCAGTATATTTTATCAGCCCTGCCCTGTTCCAGTATATTTTTAATTTATACTGATTATAAAAGTATTTTTTAATACTTTTTTTTTTTCATTCAAATTTAAAATATTGTCAGCATCCATCCACATTTGTGTTAATTAGAAAAGTTTACATTCTGTGGTACATTTGCATCTACACACTTACCAGGACGTTTCTAGTATTCCTGAAGAGGCAAGACATTTGTTTGGTGGTTCAGGCATATTTAATTGTGAATCTCGATCACACGACACCTTTACTACACAGCGGTGGGAGATCTGATGACAAAGTGTTTTAATTTGCTGCAGTATTAATAACATTCCTGCAAAATATAATAAGTAATCAAATCCGCCGAATAATTCTCAGATATTAGATAAAAAATCCCTGATGTGGAAACAGAGGAAACATTGTGCCATGAACGAGCAAGGTTTTTCAATCCACAACATTCACGATGGAGTTAATGTAGTATTGCCAACTGTAACCATGGTATCGTGGCAGAAATATTCGTTTTTACGTTATTTATCTCGGGCTTCGTACAACCTTTTGAGAGTGAAATTCACTCTTCACACTGTTTCAAGCTCTGAATAATAATAAATTAATGGGTTTTTTAATGTGATTTGTAAAAAAAGTTTAAAGATGACAGATTAAGGGAAATAACTTCTCAATTCAAGCTTAAATTTCTAATAAACAAACATGTAATATTATTAGTAACTAACTTCACTTATTAATGCAAAGCAAATGTAACATAATTAAATTAAATTACCTCAATGATTTAAAAATCCCCCCGGCACCACCCATCAGTTGTGGGTGTCACCATCTGTAGAGCTTAGTGGCACCAGAGCTACTGCTCTCATATGTTAGTCTGGAGCCCTGAAATAGCACTCACATGATGCATATGTTGATATCACTTTGCTTCTCCTTTTTAGAAATCCAGAATAAGAAGGCAAAAGAAGAACTGTTAGCCAAAAGAGTGGAGCTGAAATCAGACAGGAAGGCACGAGCAATGGCTTCACGAACCAAGGACAATTTCAGAGGATACAATGGCATCCCTGTCATAGACCAGCCCAAAAAGAGGCAGTCGAAGGGAGGAGACAGATCAGAAGAGCAGGACAGGTCAAACACATATGATGATGATGATGATGATGTTGATAATTATGACTATGAGGGTACAGATTCTGAATCTGAGGAACATGAACAAAGCAGGCCCATTAAGCCTCCACCTCAGTCTCGGGCGGAGTTCTCCAACAAAGCTGACAGCAAACCGAAAAAAGCGAGTGCTCCACCAAGGTCGGCCCCACCATCAATGAACTTTGCAGAACTCTTGAAACTTGCGCAAAAGAAGCAGTATGAACCTGTTGAAATAAAAGTAGTGAAGAAGACCGAAGAGAGGCTCAGAACAGCAGAGGAGATTCGAGAACTCGAAATGGAGCGCAGGGTTAAGTCACAGAATAAAGGCAAGGACGCAAAACCAGACAAGAATCCAGGACAGAAAGACATCAGATCTCAATCCAGCTCAAATTCTCAGAAGAAGAATGTAGACCGAGATGGCAAAAATGGGAAATTGCCCAAGCCACCAGTAGAAAAGTACCAGTCAAGTAGTGCCAGCAAAAAGCCAAAGCTTCAAGCATCCAGTGAACGAACTCCAGCTTCTGCCAAACTACATGGAGACAGGAACAACTCGGGCTCATCGGGTGTCTTAAATGGTAAATCTGCCATGAAACATGGTGCTCCGTTTACCTCAAAACAAGCACCACCTAGACCACCGCAAGGCCAAAGGCCCACAACCTCAAGTGACCTTACCCCAAGGAAGGGGAATACCTCAGTATCTCAAGGGAAATCAAGTATTTCGGGAAGTCGCCCTGTAGCTACTCCTGGTGGAGCCAGATCAGGGCAAGGACCGCACAAAAACTCTGGGCAGGGGAGACCTAGTAACTCCGATAGGGGTGGGCAACCTCAGAAACCAGCAAAACCAGTACATTTATCACGACCTGGGAGCGTTGCTCCTCCTCGGCCTGGTAGCAATGGACTTGTACGACCCTCTTCTGGTGAGCCCTCGAAGCAACCAAGACCAGGTGGTAGTTTTCAAGGTCAGCAAGTTCCTGGAAGCTCCAGGGCCTTTACAAATGGACCAAGTAGGATGGGAGGTAGTGTTTCTGGGAGACCGGTAAATGGCATGGGCATGGGATCTGGCCCTGGTAGACCTCAATGCACTGTTGTTTCAGAGACTATTTCATCAAAGAACTTTGCATTGAGACCTGGGATGGCTTCGGGGCCACAAGGGCCCAGGACAGTGATTGCCCCCTCAGGCCACAGAGTCTTGGTTAAACCTCCTGGTAAGCGATAAGAGAAGCGTTTCTTTCATTCTAATTGCTAAAGGAGTAGTTCACTTTTTTTTTTTTAAATTGCTGATAATTTACTCACCCCCATGTCATCCAAGATGTCCATGTCTTTCTTTCTTCAGTCGAAAAGAAATTAAGGTTTTTGATGAAAACATTCCAGGATTTTTCTCCATATAATGGACTTTACTGGGAACCAAACGGGTCAAGGTCCAAAAGACAGTTTCAGTGCAAACTGTTCAAAGGGCTTTAAACGATCGCTCATTTAAAAAACGTTTTTAAGTTTTATAAGCACAAATGGTCGCCTTGCTCTGTTCTGTGATGCTCGTTCGTGACTCTCCTGTTCAAACTCGTTCATCAAAATGAACGAATTTTTTTTCGAGTCATTTGGTTCATTCCACGAACTAAATGAACGAATTGACTTGGAAAAAGATTCGTCAATCACAGCATCACAGAACAGAGCAAGGCGACCATTTGAGCCTAATTTAAACTTTGTAATTTTTTTTTTTAAATGAATTTCTGCATTGAATTTGCATGGACTTATGAATTATTTACACAAACCTTCATTCTTGTTTTCTTTAACTTGTAGTCAGTAGCAACATCAATGCCTTGTGTGTTCTTGCATGTTTTTGAAGTTGTATCCCCTGCTATTTTTGAAGGACCATCGTTGCCCCCCATAACATCCGCTTACAAACGCAAGTATGAAGAGGAGGAAGAGTACGACTCGGAGATGGATGACTTCATCGACGATGAAGGAGAAGACCAAGATGAAGTTTCAAAACATATCAGGGAAATCTTTGGTTACGACAGGAGCAAGTGAGTTCTTCCCCATGTTAAGGTTACACAAAATATCCATTGCCTTGAAAATACTCTACACAAGTATTTGATCTTGGGAAAGGTGAACAAATGTTTGCGTACAGAGCCTTAACCTTCAAATGGTCTTCGTTTCCTTTTTACACTTCTGGGCTTCGGGGTCTATATACGACCCCAACAATTGATTTGAGTAATTGTACAAAAAATATAAATTTTTAATCATACAAATAATTTATATATTTTTTTTGTTTACTTCTCATCTATTCATTAAAGTACTTTTGTATCCATATATCACACAATTCCTCAGCTACACCATTAGCTTACATATGAAATATGATTTTTTAAGGAAACATTGCATTTATGCTCTAGTACTACGCCTTCATTTTTGTGTAAAAAATGTTCAGATTTATGCTGGATTTTTTTGTTTGTTTTTGACACATGAAGAAAATATATTTAGTTTTTTTACATTTCCCATTCATTTCGATGTGGGGTCATATTGACCCCGAAGCCCAGAAGTGTAAACATTTTTTTTGTACATACCTTCAAGGTTTTGTTCACCCAAAAATGAAAATTCTGTCAGTATTTACTCACCCTCATGTTGTTTCAAACCTCTACGTGTTTATTTGTTCTGCTGAACACAAAGGCAGATATTTGGGAGAATGTTTTAATCAAACAGATCTCATTCCCCATTGACTTCCATGGGGAATGAGATCTGTTTGATTAAAACATTCTTCCAAATATCTTCCTTTGTGAGGTTTGGAACAACATGAGGGTGAGTAAATACTGACAGAAATTTCATTTTTGGGTGAACTAACCCTTTCAGAACAACCGAATCAAGACCAGTTTTATGTGTGTGTATAGATAGATAATGTATGAAAAGTCACAATCTTATTCCACTGAGATGAAGGGATTTTTTATTTTTTTATTAAGTAAAAGTCGATTGTGGTCGTATAGACCCCATAACCCGATTGAGGGCTACAAAAGTGTGTTTTGCATATATTGTGGTAACGTGTCCTTCGTATCAATAGATATAAAGATGAAAGCGACTATGCACTGAAGTTTATGGAGAGCAGCTGGAGAGATCAGCAGAAAGAGGAAGCAAGGAGGTAAGCCGACACATTCATCTGCGGACTGTGAGGAAATGGTAGCTTTGACTAACTTATGTGGTTCATCGTCATTTTCACCAAATCATCACACTATTGCCTTCTTTCTGTGTGTTTCTTGTGCCGTGTCTTGCCCCGATTGTCTGATTAGCCTGCGAATGGCAGTGCTTGAAGACCAGGAAGAGGAAAGACGAGAACTTGAGGAGATGAATCTGAAGAATGCCAAGAAGAGAAAATGATTTCCGATAGACTGAAATAAAATGCTTCTCTCCCTTTAACGCAGAAGACCGGAGAAAGGTCGTTCCGTAATGACATCTGTTTTTTTTTTTTTTCTGCTTCAGTTTACGGCTGGGTATCAAGGAGGATGAGGAAGAAATGCGATTGGAGGAGGAAGAGATGAAAAGAAAACTAGCAATGAAAGCAAACCGGAAAAAGATTTAGTTAACTTGACTTTGATCTAGTCTTGTGTGGTTGGGACCGAGCGGAGTGGAAATGTGCCACAGACATTGTTACACTATTTATTTGAATGGCCAAACCGTGGGAGCAGGTTTGCACTATCATGAGCCCATCTGACGTTGCTGAGCTTCGGAGAAAATCATGTATGAAATTAATATCTGAGAATCACGATGGCAATTTTTTTGTATCTGTAGAAATTATGTAAGTATATTGATGTGGGTGCCTTACACCTCATGCACCAACTGATTTCGGGAGAGTTATTTTATTACGTATAGTATAGTATTTAATTGACGAGAAAAGACAGAAGACTGCCGTTTTTCCAATGTATTTTTTGTTAAAATTATTTGACAGATGCTTTTGTCCCGTCATTTCTTTATTCCATATTTTTGCTTTAATTGTGGATCTGGTTTCTGGTTGTGGATCTGGAACTCAAATATTAACTTTATCACTTTGCACATGGCCTTGTAATGCGAATTACATCATTCAAAGTTCAACATGTCTTGCTTTGTCTATAGACAAGTAGTCCACAAACTAGTTTGTAATATATTAGTTGCGATGCCGTGGTCTTTTGTGAATAATCTTTACAAATGCGAATTAAATATATTATTGCCACCACAGTACTTTTTAAGGGTCATTGATCCAGACAACCATTGTAGATATCAAGCACTATGCTCAAATAAAGTGCTAAAGTAGTTTTGACCAACAGTCGATGACTCGCTATTGCTATGCTAATGCTACCTTAATATGCTAATTTTGGCTTACCGTTACTAATTATTTGCTTGATCTAATTTTGTCACTGACCAGACTAGAGTGAAAGCCCGCTCAAGTATCACCATCATGTGTCTTCCATGTTCGTACAGGGCTTGTAACACGCATGGTACTTTACAGATAAAAAAATAGAGCCAAAATATTCAGATATTGATGAACATTTATCCATAGCTAAAGTAAACTTCTTAAGTTCATTTTCATCTCTGTTTTTTGTTTATTTAAAGCTACTCTGTGTGATTTTTACCCCCATCTAGTGGTGAAAAGGTATATGACCATCCAGTGAACATTAGTTTCTGTTCCTCTCAATTCCGATTTCAGTTTAACTCCTACGGTGGCCAATGTAGTACAAGTTTAACATGGCTTCCAGTTCGACCTCGTCCATGAGTGTTAACTCAAACGTAAACGCGAAAGGCGAAGCTTGAATTAATGGGTATGTCTCTCTTTGGCTAATGTACTTTCAAGAGGGAGGGGCAACATGGCGACCGACATTAGAACCCCTTAACCGTATGTATTTTCAATGGCACATTATACACTCACGAGAATACTTTATTACTTGAACAAAGTATGTATATATATATATATATATATATATATATATATATTAATGAGCACACTAGCTAAGAATAAACTAAAAGAGTTCCACAGTGTAGCTTTAAAATAAGACAAATGGATATTATTTTAATCTTAAATCTGATATTTGACAGTTGAGTTCTTTAATGCTGATCTAACCAGCAGAACACACTAGTCAGGTTTTAAGTCCCCCTGTGGTGAAAATCAAGCTTTTAATGTTGTTTATATGTCTGAGGTGTTTTAATATGCTTTAAGAAAAACCCTGTGCAAATTCATGCCACAAACTACCTTGTATCCAATCAGGTCAACCGAGCTGGATTGAGTGAGTGGAGGCGTGCTCATTTGCATATTCATAGAACTGGTTATACTAAATGAGGCAAGAGTGTAGAGTGACAAATAAAGCTATTTGAAGGCTTGAAGACTTCAAGGAAAAAACTTGTACATGGGTAATTTTGCTGATCAAAGATGAGTTTTAAGGGTTCAAATTATTGACAGGGGACTTTGAATGAGTACTTACCCTCATGTCATTCAATATGTCCATGTCTTTCTTTCTTCAGTCAAAAAGAAATTAAGGTTTTTGATGAAAACATTCCTGGATTTTTCTCCATATAATGGACTTCAATGGAAATCAAACGGTTCAAGGTCCAAAAGACATGTTTCAGTGCAAACTGTTGAAAGGGCTTTAAACGATTTCAGAAGATGAATAAGGATTTTATCAAGCGGAACTATTGCTCCTTTTTTAAAACAATAACAAAGTTTAAGTTTTATAAGCTCACATTGGTAGCCTTGCTCTGTTCGTGATTCTCCTGTTCAAACTCGTTCATCAAAATGAACAAATCTTTTTTTGTGTCATTTGGTTCAAAGTTCATTTTTGTATTTTATTGACAATATACCTCAACTTTTTTGAAAACATATTGCAAAAGAAAATATAAATATTCAGTGGTAATTTACCCAACATATTTGACAATTATTAAAGATGGCGTGAAACATAAGCAGTTATTGGCTTTTCTTTCTCAGAAGTGAAAGTTGTCATAGTTGGGTAAACTTATAAAGATGACAGCAAATATAATTTTTGTATTACCATTTGCAATACCAAGAGAGAGAGAGAGAGAGAGCAAAACTGATTTTAAAAGGGAAAACGTAGAGATTGACTGCCTAATCCAGTCGTGTTCATTTGTTTTTCGTTATTCACTGCCAATGCAATAATACATGGTATTATAAATCTCTATTTATTTAAAAAAGAGATTTGCGAGTGAGATGGCTTCTCGAATGACAAAAATAAATAAATAAAATAGAGCTGAACATGATTTTATCATAGACGATTGGATTTTGTCCGTCGGGATTGGATCGTCGTCATCCAATTTTCTAATAATATTTTTTTATGACAACAATATTTGGAAAACAAAATACAGCCATTTCTGATTTTTTTCTTTTAAACAAAACCAAGTTGCACAGTTTTTTAAATTTCATCTTTCATTCAGAAATAGAATAATGAATGAACGAAAAAGTACAGGGTTTTCCCGCCCTCGAGCCATTAAACAAAGATGGAGGGTAAGTTTTTTTGATTAAAGAGGGTTAGTTCACCCAAAAATGAAAATTCTTTCATTAATTATTCACCCTCATGTTGTGGACATGTCTGTCAATTTGGTTTCTTTTCATGGTGAGCTCTGTTAAAGAAAATTAGATTTACAAATAATGTTTAAATAGTTTATATTATGGATAAATATTCATAAAGGTGCATTCAGAAAGCCATCCCTAAAATATTTGTAATCTAATATATTATAATATATTTATATTTGTATCTTTTAAAATTCAATTTGTGATGACTGATTTAGTAAAATAAATAAAATCGCCTAGCATTTTTTTATTTGAATGACATCAGCCCTCTCGGCTTGCCGTAGAAAGAGGCAGTCAGCTGGAATCCAATGTGTTTGCGGAAGTTTGAGTTTCACTATTGACTGGTTGAGATTCAGCAGCTCGGGCTTCCACGGTTTTACCGCACAGTTTTAAACAGCGATCATGGATTTAAATTCGGAATCTGTGAAGAAAGTTCTCTCTAAGGTAAGTAACATGAACTAGAAATATTAAATATTGACGAATAAGGTTGATGCTAAACACTGGTTAAACCTCTATGAAAAGTAGTCAGTGTGTCAAAAATCACATCTTTAAATGCGAATTATTTACTCTCTCTAACATGGTACTTGGTTTCCTTACTAGTATAAATATCGTGATGTGGCCATTGAAGAGCTCCAGAAAGTGTCTCGCGTTCACACTGATATGGAAGTAAAGTCTGGAACATACAGTAAGTTATTTTCATAAAACATCATAACATATAACACCACATTTATCTGGTTTAGTCATTGGGAGTTCAAAGCTCAAATTATTGTATACGTCTTACTTGTGATCATTTGAATCTGCTGAGTCATTATTGAAACTTCTTTTTTTAGCATTTAATGACAATTTACAGAAGGATCTCCTCCAACTGGTTGGAAATATCCCAGTCATATATCAAGGTGAGACATGAAAGAGTATCTGTTGTTTAATTGAACAATGAGTATACTAGATATAATTGCTCGGAAGAGTCTTCTTTATGTTGATTTGAGCACTGTCTTTGTTCACACACAGGACACTCATATAACCTGCCCGTCCTGCTGTGGCTCTTGGATTCCTTCCCCTTCACTCCTCCCATGTGCTTCTTGAGACCCACTTCCAGCATGGTCATACGGGAGGGTAAACATGTCGATTCGAAGGGTAGAATACACCTGCCGGGCCTGCACAACTGGGACCACGTAAGATAACTTGTTTACAGCATATGCAAAATGCTTTATTTGACTGATTGTTTAATTATTATTTCCTAATTTAAAAAAAATCCCTTATGCTCACAAAAATATAGCAAAAAAAAAGAGTAATATTGTGAAATATTATTGTTAAATAATGCAACTGTTTTCTGTTTGAAAATGCTTAAAAATGTAATTTATTCCTGTGATCAAAGCTGTTATAATTTTCAGCATTAAAGGAGTAGTTCACTTTAAAATAGGGCTGTGAAACGATTAATCGCATCCAAAATAAAAGTTTGTGTTTACATAATATATGTGTGTGTAGTTGTATATATAAATACACACACATGCATGTATACATTTAAGAAGTATTTGCATGTATATACTTTATATATATTTATACAAAATTAATATTATACATAAATATAAATATTTGATATATTAATAACTTATTTTTCTTAAATATGCATACATGCATGTGTGTGTATTTTTATATATATATACAAAATAATTATACACACTTCACACATATATATTATGTAAACACAAACTTTTATTTTGGATGCGATTAATCATTTCACAGCTCTACTTAAAAAAAAAAAAAAAAAAGTAAATTATAATTTATGTCATCCAAGATGTCCATGTCTTTCTTTCTTCAGTCGAAAAGAAATTAAGGTTTTTGATGAAAACATTCCAGGATTTTTCTCCATATAATGGACTTCAATGGGAACCAAACGGTTCAACGTCCAAATAAGAGTTTCAGTGCAGCTTCTAAGGACTTTAAACGACACCAGACGATGAATAAGAGTCAGCCATTTGAAAAATAATACGTTTTATGAGCACAAATGGTCGCCTTGCTCTGTTCTGTGATGCACGTTCGTGACTCTCCTGTTCGGACTCGTTCATCAAAATGAACAAATCTTTTTTCGAGTCATTTTGTTCACTCAACGAACGAAACGAACAAAATGACTCGAAAAAAGATACGTTCTTTTTCATGAACGAGTGCGAACAAAGCTTTTTTCGAGTCATTTCGTTCATTCAAAGAACAAAATGAACGAAATGACTTGAAAAAAGATTCGTCCATTTTGATGAACGAGTCCGTACAGGAGAGTCATGAACATCACAAAACAGAGCAAGGCGAGCATTTGTGCTTGTAAAACTTAAACTTGTTTATTTATTTTTAAAATAACAGATCGTTTCGCTAGATAAGACCCTTATTCATCGTCTGGTGTCGCATGATCCTTCAGAAATCGTTTGATGTTCACACACCAATCGGATCTTCTAAATCGAGACCTTAAATTCATTGATGTGCTGGAGGAGACTTTACAGAGTGCTGGATCAGAAATTATTCAGACACTTTGACCTGACCATGTTTTGCTTGCCAAAGTGACCTTTTTACACCACAGACTGAACAAAATGAAGCATTTCTTGGTAATCGGTTGAACTAGATTGGTATTATCTAATTTTGTACTTAAATTTAACAGCTGACAGCTATTCAACCTAATTCATCTGCGAGACAGTCTAACAGAAGGATGGACAAAACCAGTGAAATATCAACTGATTCGATAACTCTTCTTGACATATTTTCTAATAAACTGATAATGTGAGAAATGTTGAAGGTGTCTGACTCTGAATACATTTTGGTTTGACTGTATATATATATAAACTGTCACTATCGCAGCCAAAGTCGTCTGTGAATGGGCTTCTGGCAGAGATGATTGCTAAATTTGAAGAGGAACCTCCACTGAGCACCAAATCTTCAGCACATGTCGACACACCCAACGATCTACTGGCCTTTGTGGCGAATCTCAAAGTTAATGAAGGTATGTCTGGAATGGACCAAAAAAATGCAATTGCACAGGTTGAGTACCTCTTTTATGAATTCAAAATTGAAATCATAATGTGGTATTGCTCTTATAGGTGGAAATCGTCCTGATCAAGAGGTTAAAGTGTGTGTGATTGGCGGGGGAGATTTGGGAATTGCTGCCGTGTTGAGTATCATGGCGAAAGTAACTACATGATTCTGTCTATTGTTTGCCGGAAATAGCTTATGGCTACGTAACCACATTTTTATGACCAGGTTGTTGTGTCATTCTTTCTGTCATAGTGCTGTGTTGACAAACTGGTTTTGATTGACATCCCTGAGAGTTCAACCAAAGGCGGCACGATGGATTTGGAAATTTTCAGTTTACCAAAGGTCGAGGTCTCAAAAGGTGCTTTTTTTTTTCATCATTACGTTCACAGAATCTCAAAATGTCTGTCCATAACATGTCTGGTGCCGTGTCCCAGTTGGCCTACTTATACTATGCCCTGTTTTTGAGAAGAAAAAGTATATACTTTTGAGTGTGTAGCAGAAGAGTATGCAAGCTTCGTCATAATTCACTTAATAGCGTGCAACCTGTCACTGTCTATGTTTACATGCACAACTTTTGTTTCAGTCGGACTGAATTCATTGAACATGAACTCTAAACGTGATTGGTTTGATGTGCGCTTTTACATGTCACAAGATTCAAATCGGAATAGATTTGTTGACGTGTACACACTGCATGAATATACAGGGTTTCTTGCTGTTTGCACATAACTATTCTCCTACATTGGTTCTTTATTTGTTTAGTATTATTTATCCATTTCTGGTCATAATTTGAAAACAATGATCATTCTTTAGAAATGTTGGCCCATATTGATAGGATAGCATCTTGCAGTTGATGGAGATTTGTGGGATGAACATCCAGGGCACGAAGCTCCCGTTCCACCACATCCCAAAGATGCTCTATTGGGCTGAGATCTGGTGACTGTGGGGGCCATTTTAGTACAGTGAACTCATTGTCATGTTCAAGAAACCAATTTGAAATGATTTGATCTTTGTGACATGGTGCATTATCCTGCTGGTAGTAGCCATCAGAGGATGGGGACATGGTGGCCATAAAGGGATGGAAATGGTCAGAAACAATGCTCATGTAGGCCGTGGCATTTAAACGATGACCAATTGGCACTAAGGGGCCTAAAGTGTGCCAAGAAAACATCCCCCACATCATTACACCACCACCACCAGCCTGCACAGTGGTAACAAGGCATGATGGATCCATGTTCTCATTCTGTTTACGCCAAATTCTGACTCTACCATCTGAATGTCTCAACAGAAATCGAGACTCATCGATTTGAGTCTGATTTGAGTGGATGAGAGTCTGAGACGAGGACTGGCTAGATGTCCTGTTCCACTTCACAGACACTGAGTGAGAGGAGAATTTTAGAATGACGGGACACTCGTTTATATGATGCTTTATTCAACAGGTTTATGACTGATTCTTGAGCCTTCAATCCAAATACTAGCAGATTGTTTGGTTGCATGTAAACGTAGCCACTGTTTAAACTGCCCCGTCAATCATCTTGCCGAAGTTAAAATCCACAACATTGAATTAAATTGAATTTCCTACCATAACAGAGAAAAATGCTAGAGAAATCACACGTTGATCTGCCAGTCGTGGGTCTTTCATTCGGAGAACTCCTTACGTTTGCATAATGATGTATTTAAAAGTTAATGACCGAATGTATGGTTATAAAAGATCACAATGTTGTTTTAGAGTAAATATAAAGTGGGTAACCTTTAATATTTTTTTTTATTGTCAGGTTAGATGGGCTACTGATTATTAAGCACTCAAACCCCTTTATCTAAACCTATTCTAAAAAAACAAAGTAGACTATCCTGGTATTTTTGGAATACTTATTTCAACATTCTACAATTCTAATTTCAAATACTATTTAGGATGGGTAGTATGCGAATTGGGACACAGCATCTGTCATATTTCAAAAATCTCAGTGTTAATTTAATGTTATTTATTTAATATCCTAGTATGTTTAATATTTCTATACTTTCAGTTTCATATAAATTAGAATTTGTTTTAGTATAGTTTTATAATGTGTGTTTTCATTTATTAGTGATAATTTCTATTTAACTTTTCAGGTTTAGTTTATATTATGTTTATATTTTATTTTCAGCTTTATTTCAATTACCAAAAACAATTTTTAATGGTTTTGGTTTACACAGCCCTTATTCTTATTAATGTAATGTTATTGTGTGTGTGTGTGTGTGTGTGTGTATATATATATATATATATATATATATATATATATATAAATTATAATAATGATGCAAAATAATTTTATTTATTTTACTTTTCTTGAGGAAAAAAGACTTGAAAAAGACAATGTATTCATAATTCTAACCATCGAAGATGTGTATTTTCACTATAATTATATATATATTTTGATAGCATTTGCTATTTTATTTTTATATTTTCGGTTTTCATTTTTCATTTTAAAGTTGTGTTAATAGTTAACAACTTTTGTTAAATTGTGTTTTAATGACCTGTATATAGGTTTTGAGTTTTAGTGCTTAAACTAAATTAAAATGAGAAATGTTGCCTGGGCAACTACTGTAGCTGAAATGAAATTTCAGCTTTTTTTGTCTTGTACAAAGTATATATTTTTCCAGTTAATTTTAATTCAAGTAATGAAAATATGTTTTTATGGTTTTAGTTTGAACGATAATAACCCTGGTGAAGATACAGATATTAGAGCCCGACCGATAAAGGATTTTGAAGGCCGATACAAATATTTTGGGGTTTTAAAATCTGATATTCCGATATATCGGCCGATATTTTATTTTTTTATTTTAAACTGGACATGATATTCACAAATTTTGTCATGCTTATTTGAGTTGAGAGAACTGATGGGGATGGTCTTTTAATTGTTATTCAAGCAATGTATGTGTCGTGACCAACTGAACGTGTGTTGTCAACAGGAACGGTGTAGAGTGCCCTCTGGTGGACAAACTATACAACTCCAACTCCACTCATGACATGGTTCAAGCGTGTTTCGTCCGTTTTTATTTTATTTTTGAATTATTAATTTATCGGCCATTATAACTGCCGATACCGATAGTTTGTAAAATGCCTAATATCGGCAGATAATATCGGTCTGCCGATATATCGGTCTGGCTCTAACAGAGATCACCACAAAGTCTTTACATGTCTCTTTGTTTTTTACTGTCTACATTGTAAAAGTTCTTCAACCTCTCCTACACAACAGACAGTGACAGTGTCTCTCATCTCAATTCCACAGACCTGTCGGCCTCAGCGGGCTCTAAAGTGGTGGTTGTCACAGCGAATGCCTGGAGTGATGAGCAGTCATATTTAAGTGTAGTTCAGACTAATGTGGACATGTACAGAGGAATCATCCCACATCTCGCCCAGCTGAGTCCAAGAGCCGTGCTGCTCATCGCCTCTCAACCAGGTTAGAGATCGCTTAGCTTCTGCTCAAAGACAACATCAAATCAAAATGTCCCATTTATTTTCTTTACTGATTGATTAGTGATTGTTCTTATTAGAGCTGCTCGATTAATCGTTAAAATATCGATTCAAAGACCCACGTGATCTCATTCCTAAATGACAACAATTCGCCTGTGACTATTAAACCTTTGACAAAATCACACCGGAACATTCAAATCTGTTACAAATATTCATATCATCACAGACGTCAAAACCACCATTTTAAAGTAACTTGGCTCTTCGTTATATCGATTATATCGTTACACCAGTAGGTGGCGACAAATTACTGTTAAAATGTATTCGACATTGAATCAATCATTCAAGAGATTCGTTCAAAAATGCAGATTTATCCTCTAATTAAACAAGCAAAGTCTATTAGTGTGTCATTGAATCATTCATTCAAACTGATTATCGCAAATTAATTAAACATTTTTAAATCATCATCATCATTTTTCTTCTATTCTAATTTCTATATCTATTTATCATTAGCAAGCAGCTCAAATTCTTATAGTGAACAATTCATGATTTAGTCAGTAAAATATAACGGACAACAAAATCTTGCTTTGTTCACAGTGGACATTATGACACATGTTGCCTGGAGACAAAGTCATCTTCTGCCCTCTCAAGTGATCGGTGTGGGGTGTAATCTGGATTCAGAGAGACTGTCTCACATCATCAACATTTCACTGGTGGCAAATAACACAGGCAAGCAGGCCTGGGTCATTGGAGAACTCTCGGAGAACAAGGGTGAGTGGATCAGGAGCAGCTTGACGTATTAAAGGGTTAGTTCACCCAAAAATGAAAATTCTGTCAGTATTTACTCACCCTCATGTTGTTCCAACCCTCTATGTGTTTATTTGTTCTGCTGAACACAAAGGAAGATATTTGGAAGAATGTTGCAATCAAACAAATCTCATTCCCCATTGACTACCATAGTATGTATTGTAGTCAATGGGGAATGAGATCGGTTTGATTAAAACGGTCTTCCAAATATCTTCCTTTGTGTTCAGCAGAACAAATAAACACATAGAGGTTTGGAACAACATGAGGGTGAGTAAATACTGACAGAATTTTCATTTTTGGGTGAACTAACCCTTTAATGTGTTAATGAAATCATTTTCCATTTATCGAGGTTATCTTATGAAGTCAGCAAAGTTTTTTTTTGCATATTTTTAAAAAAAAAGATATTTTTCTATCCTACCCTATTTCAAGTGACGTTTCTTCTTTCAGAACCACAAGTAAACGCCCACTTCCGTGATTGGCCAACTTCACCACAGCATTTGTGACGTGTTTTAATGTAAACACTGCTGTAATAGCACCAAATTAAAATGAATTAGTTTATCACTGCACCAACATTTCATTTAGTTTTTTTTTTTTTTTTTTCACATATAAACTTTCATCAACTCACACATCAGTTGTGGTAAATGGAAGCTCAAGAAAGTTCGCTTTACGTGCGAGAGTACCAGGTTCGTTCTCATGTTACGCAGTACGTTTGAGCTTCTGTGAGAAAGAATGAGGTTTATGATCGTGTTACGTAGTACGTTTGAGCTTCAGCAAGAGCCAATGAGATTAATTCTCCTTTTACGCAGCACATTTAAGCTTGCAAACCTCAACTGTGCACTGATGTTCTGAGGTTGGAGTCTAGATTTAAATAATAAATTAGATTTCTCTCTGGTTGTTCCGCAGTGGCAGTGTGGGGTAATATGGAGCCGGGAACTGATCAATTACATGCGTTAACCCCAGTGTCCAACTCTACCAAACCCTTGATGGACAGGTATGGGTTTAAATGATGACTGTCCAGATATTGTCTATTAGAAATGTAAAAATTATTATAATTTTTTTTTATTGCATTATGATGTGTGAACATTTTTATATGCTTTTAGGGCATTAGAGATGCTCAAGGGCAGAGGTCAGAGGTCATCGTCAGTTGGGTTATCCATTGCTGGCATCATTCACAGCATCGTAACAAACCAAAGGAAAACACACTCTGTCTCAACATTGGCTGAGGTATGTTCAGTTAAGGAACTTTGTGGCCAGTCCTACATGTGCATTCGTGATGAGGATTAACATGCAATTAAGAGACTTAAGATTCAAATTGTCTCTCCATAATTTTTTTTCTCTCAAAATTATTTAAGTCATATTTTGTAAGCATAAACTTTATAGAGTGCATTAGGCCTTGTCCACACGGACACGGGTATTTTTCCCTCCTGCGTTTAAAAAAACCCCTCTGTCCACATGAAAACGCAAAAACACGCTATCAGGCGCTGTCAAGAGCATGCAACACCACCAGGTGGCGATATAAACCTAACCGTAAAGCCACGTTAGCCAATCAGAAGCCGTCAGCGCTGCAAAAATTCCGGTTTCACGGTCTACACGACAACACTGCAACTGGCGTTTCAGAAAATACTCAAAAATGTTCGGTTTCAGTGTCCAGTGTCCCGGCCGAACCGCGTAAAAAAAGTCACGGTTATAAAAATACCCGTGTCCGTGTGGACATGGCCTTAGTGTCCTGCCACTTTTTCAGCTGCGTTGGTTCAGCAAGTATTTTTACATTAATTTTATAAGCCATGAACCGAACCAAGCCAGCCAACTATGAAGTGAATCAAAACATTGCAAACATCTGTTTGTAGCATTTGAAAATCAGACAAAGGTTCAAGGCTGTGCACTTAACGACTTCCATGAGGGAAAGAACTACAATCCCATGAAGCATTGCGAATGACAATCAAATTAAAAACAATGGTGAAAAGTATTAATTAAAGTTAAATTACGTCTATATAACAATATATTTGTATCGCAAAATTTGCATATATATCAAATTAATTTTATTGGTTTGTTATTACATTATGAAATGTGAATGTTTGAATATGTTTTCAATGACAATATATATGCAAAAATGAGAAACCAACTCGATTATGTATTTCACGGCCCTCAAAGCTCTTTATATATAAGAATATCATGGGTAATGTAGTTTTTCAGCACAAATTCCATTATTAAATACAAGTATTATTATAGTTGTTATATTATAATAACAGGTCTGTTTTTAAAGGTTCATAAATTATCATTAAAAATATAATTTTTTTATTTTTTTAATTCCAGAACTCACCTTTTGCACTCTAAAGGAGTCACTGAAACATTCAATTGTTTTGTAATAAAATGTTAAAGATGCAGTTTAAATATCCATGTCTGTAAATGTTGAGAGAATTGAGTCTCCAATATGTGCGTTTCCTTCATTCAGGGCTGGGGTGGAATCGGTTCAAAAGTGTTCCTCAGCTTGCCGTGCATCCTCGGGGAAAACGGCTCCACCAGATTACCAGGTGTGTCTTTAGGTTCAGAAGAAGAAATGACGCTGAGGGAGAGTGTGGCGTGTCAGGTTAACCTCTTCATGCAGCTGAGATTGTAAAACACCATCACGTCTACAACCGCAGCTTTCAGAACGGTTACGGATGAGGGGCTATTCAAAGAAATGTCTGTAGAATGTGAAGATTCAGGTTAGTCCTTCCAGCAACACTTGCTTATGTTATATTCTCCCTGCAGTCACTGTGAAGTGAAAGTCTTGCATCTGATCGCAATAGCACTTAAAGACACTATCCTGGCTTCTGGTGAAGCATTATGCATAATAATACTGCACTTCAATATTGTTTACAATATAAAACTATGTAGATGCAATCCTTTTTGTCATATAACTTATTGTATGTGGTTGCCTGTGCAAATATTGGACAATGGTGCCTTTATGGAAGGATAAATTACGGTTGAATGGTAAAATGAATGGCTTTAAGAGAGTTAAACCAAAAAATGTAATTCTATCATTACTCACCCTTGAGTTGTTCCAAACCTGTATGAATTTCGTTCTTCTGCTGAACTCAACACATGTGGTCATCATATTCTTCAAAATATTCTTCCTTTGTGTTCAGCAGAAGAAAGACATTCATATAGGTTTGGAAAACTTGAGGTGAATAAATGTTGACAGAATTTTCATTTTTGGGTGAACTATCTATTTAAAAGCTATTATCAATCATGCAAATCTGTGATGTAGGATTTTCTTAAATTAATTAAAGGGTGCGGGTTCTTAAAGTGCTTTTCTGCAAGCGAATGTACATTTTCATATCTAAAGAAATAGAAATACCATCCTGGTATTATATTTTATCAAGTTTTGCTTGTCATGTACTGTACCTCTGAATGTGCAATCAGAAATGAATATAGCAATAATGTAAATAAAACACTCCACTTTACTATCTATTGTTTCCATTGTTGCATGAGGAAAACAAAACGGTTTTTTTAGTATAAGTCAAATGAGCATAAACCAAAATACACTTTAAACTGGGGTTCAAACACCATTTTAACCTGAGAATCAATATAAAAAGCAATTAAATATAGGCGGTTAATACAAATAAAGTACAAATCAAACAAATTCTATTTACAATGACACAAAGCGACCTTGAATATACAGTTGCTTCATTTTAACATTCACTGTGGTTGGCTGTATTTCCCAGTAAATAAATTGACCAAGCTGGGCTTCATTTTCACAAGGTGGCGCTAAAGGGCAATATATAACACTAAGGTTTACATGTAGAGAAAATTTTAAAGGAAATGAGCAAATCAAGGACCATGAATATCTTTCAATTATTGTAACCAAGGAACTTTTGCTTATGTCGGTGTGGTGGGATCCTTGTTTATATTTCCTAAATATGATAGTTTCAAAAGAAACAAAAAACGCAGAAAAAAATTGCACTTAGATATAAAATAAACTCACAAAAAATAAGACAAAGACAATAATCTAAAGGGAAAAACCTGAAAAAAGCAGTCAAATTATTTTTGCCTTCCATCTAGTCGAAAACCAATGCCACATTAGTACTTGTATGACTGACAAAGAACCCCCTCAGAAAACAACATGCAGACAAAACAGACCCAAACTAAATAGTGGTGACTGTCACATCTCAGGGTCCAGTGAAATTGTTTACAATTATCCTTTCAAAACACAATAAGACTTCCCGGAAAACTGCTGCTTAGTCATCTTGCTAACTGGTGATTCTTATGGAAGTTTGTTTCCGCCAATGAATAAAAAATAAAATAATTGCGACTTTTTGTCTCACAATTGCGAGATATGAAGTCAGAATTGTGAGAAATAAAGTCATAATTGCGTGTTATAAAGTCAGAATTGCGAGATATAAAGTCAGAATTGCGAAAAAATTACAGAAGTGGAACTTTTTATCTCACAATTCTGACTTCTTCTCACAATTGCGAGTTTACATTTCGCAATTCTGACTTTATATCTTGCAATTCTGACTTTATAACTCGCAATTCTGACTTTATAACTCGCAATTCTAACTATATCTCGCAATTCTGACTTTATATCTCGCAATTTTGACTTTATATCTCGCAATTCTGACTTTATATCTTGCAATTCTGACTTTATATCTCACAATTCTGACTTTATATCTTGCAATTCTGACTTTATATCTCGCAATTCTGACTTTATAAAACGCAATTGCGACTTTATATCTCACAATTCTGACTATATCACGCAATTTTGACTTTATATCTCGCAATTCTGACTATATCTTGCAATTTTGACTTTATATCTCGCAATTCTGACTATATCTTGCAATTTTGACTTTATATCTCGCAATTCTGACTATATCTTGCAATTTTGACTTTATATCTCGCAATTCTGACTTTATATCACGCAATTCTGACTTTATAAAACGCAATTGCGACTTTATATCTCACAATTCTGACTTTATATCTCACAATTCTGACTTAATATCTCGCAATTCTGACTTTATAAAACGCAATTGCGACTTTATATCTCACAATTCTGACTTTATATCTCACAATTCTGACTTTGTATCTCGCAATTCTGACTTTATAAAACGCAATTGCGACTTTATATCTCACAATTCTGACTTTATATCTCGCAATTCTGACTTTGTATCTCGCAATTCTGACTTTATCTCACAATTCTGACTTTATATCTCACAATTCTGACTTTATATCTCGCAATTCTGACTTTGTATCTCGCAATTCTGACTTTATATCTCGCAATTCTGACTTTATAAAACGCAATTGCGACTTTATATCTCACAATTCTGACTTTATATCTCGCAATTCTGACTTTGTATCTCGCAATTCTGACTTTATATCTCGCAATTCTGACTTTGTATCTCGCAATTCTGACTTTATATCTCACAATTCTGACTTTATATCTCACAATTCTGACTTAATATCTCGCAATTCTGACTTTATAAAACGCAATTGCGACTTTATATCTCACAATTCTGACTTTATATCTCACAATTCTGACTTAATATCTCGCAATTCTGACTTTATAAAACGCAATTGCGACTTTATATCTCACAATTCTGACTTTATATCTCACAATTCTGACTTTGTATCTCGCAATTCTGACTTTATATCTCGCAATTCTGACTTTATAAAACGCAATTGCGACTTTATATCTCACAATTCTGACTTTATATCTCGCAATTCTGACTTTGTATCTCGCAATTCTGACTTTATATCTCACAATTCTGACTTTATATCTCACAATTCTGACTTTATATCTCGCAATTCTGACTTTGTATCTCGCAATTCTGACTTTATATCTCGCAATTCTGACTTTATAAAACGCAATTGCGACTTTATATCTCACAATTCTGACTTTATATCTCGCAATTCTGACTTTGTATCTCGCAATTCTGACTTTATATCTCGCAATTCTGACTTTGTATCTCGCAATTCTGACTTTATATCTCACAATTCTGAATGTACATCTCGCAATTCTGAGAAATAAAGTCAGAATTGCAAGATGTAAACTTGCAATTATGAGAAAAAAAATTCATTTTTTTTATTTTTCATTCTGTGGCAGAAACAAGCTTCCATAGATTCTGATAACCGATCAGATAAAAATAATCTTCTTCACCTTAGACAAGGGGATTTCAATGCAACAAATTTGCCTGAAACACACTCTCATTAAACACACACACATTCCAACATCCTTTTTTGTTATATAACACGTACGGCAACATAAGAAAATAATCACAACCTCTAAAAGATTAAAAAAAAAACTTTCACTTCATATCATTGAAGTATAAAAGTCCAAAATGGAAACAAGTCTTCAGTTCACACTAAAAATGGTACTTGCATGATAGGGTTGATTCCAGCAACTAGTGACTTGGGACATGCATTCGGTAGAAGTCTGAATCCGAGTGTACTGGAGAGAGTCTTGTGGCTTGAGATTTTTTGGGTGGTAGTCTCGGGGGCTGTGACTGACCCCTATCTTGTTCAGTCTGGTTTACAACCACCTGATTGCATGGGGCAGAAGATATGAGAAAGGGTCTATCTGCAAAGCCGGTAGGTGGGTGGGGGAAAATGGAGTCTGGAGTCACCCAACGGTTTGACTCCTCAATGCATGGAGGAGGAGGAGGGAGTGGCGAAGAGTCAGGGCTGTAGAAGAACATACAAGGGGATGGTAGAGGAAGAGACATGGCATCTTCTGAAGGAAAGGAAAGGGTGGTGTTCCTGAGGCCCAAGTTTGGGTTTTGCGGCAATGTGGCCGCGATCTCCAACAGCCTCTCCACAGACTGATCCTCCTCTTCCGAGAGGTTGTCGTAATGTGAGGTGTTGGAAGGCCTCCGGTCACCTGAGGACGGCGGGACGTACAGGTTGACGGGAAACTTGCTTAGCTGCCGATAGGATCTATACGAGGAAGGTGATGAAGATGGATCCTCTAAGATGAGATCCAAAGGTTGGGTGATTGGAGGTGGGAGCAGGTAAAACTGGACATCCTCTTCGGAAGGTGAAAGCTCGACCCCTTGTTCGATGCAGGGAAGAGGTGGAGGAGGTAATTCAGGGAGATCTAAAGAGTGGTTACTGGAACAATCTGTCAGGGGTGTCTGGTACGGAGGAGGCCAGTCTTCAGACACCGCCGATAAAGGCCTACCGACACATTCATCCTTAAACGCAAGAGTCTCTGTTGAAAATGGTGTAGGTTCTGGTTGGAGTAGCTGATTTCTCTGTAAGGGTGCATGGTCTTGATTCTTCAGTGTGGACCCTGAATCTTCAGGTGTAGCTTGTGACAGTGATGAGTTGGAAGGTGAGTGGGTATCCTTTGAAACAGGGGAAGATGATGTCATGGAAGGGATGTGTTTATCGCTGCCCTGGTTGTGGGTGGTGGTGTCTTCCGCCTGAAGCTTGTTTGAGGTCTGATTGTTGTGTGCGGCCGGTGGTAAGGGTACAGACTCAGTCTGGAACACTGGAAGCAGCACTATTGGACGCTCCTCACCCAATGGTATCTTTGGGAACTCTTCTCCCTTGGCTACAAGACAAACCAAGAAAAGACATTTGTTGTAACAGTCTAAAATTGTATAAAACCACAGCATGCGTTTAAAAAAAAGCTTGTTACAAGGTTCCTTAAGTTTTACAAATAACCATCTATTAATTAAGGATAATTTTTGTTCTATTAGGTTGTGGATTTGGTCATATGGTTCTTGGTTTTACATTATCAGTTTGTAAGAGAACTCAATTTGCCTTCCAATTTCATTGGAGGACCAGATGGTTTTCTAAACAACTAGGGGATATAAACTGCTTTGGGAAAGCTTCTATTGCATCAGACTATAAAACAATTTTTTATTGAACCTTTACTTTTAGAAGTCTACACTTACAGACACCAAAGACATATAGAATAGTAAAGTACACCTTGTGAACACGTCATCCTTAAAGGTGCTCTAAGCGATGTCGGGTGACGTGACTTCTTGTTGACGTTTAAAGTATTTTCAAACAAAACGGAGGCTAGATAGACCCTCACTCCTCCTCATCCGCACACTGACAACCCAAACCCCACCCCCAGGGCCTTGTCGGTTATTGGCTGGAACAGTTTGTTATGTTTCGTGGAGCGGGTTGCCGCAGTTTGTTTTTGTTGCCATTTGTGGAGCCTGGGTTGTCTGTAGGGCTGGGTATTGACACAGATTCCACAATTCGATTCGATTTCGATTCACCAGCTTCCAATTCGATTTCGATTCTAATATTGATTATTTTGATAACAGGTACAATACATGGCAAATTTTCTGAAGGAAAACAAATCTCTTAACTAATGCTGTAAACTATGGGAGTCAGTAGCCTATTGGCTTCATTAGCCGCCTATGATATTGAACATAAAAATGAACTGATTTATAGCTATACAAACACTTAAATTACACATTTATTTTTTATAATAAGAAAGTTATATGAAATATAAACATTTTAATGGTGGCTGTTATAAAAAAACTTGCCTGATTTATTCAAACATGAATTAAATATTGAAGAACATTAAAAATTATAATGAATATGTAATATGGTTCATATATTTAGCAAAATTATCCTCTCTAGAGTTAAATTTTCTACCTGACTAACTAAGTTTATGGTCACATGGTTTTTCTGAATTAAATGTGATGTTACATGACATTGTTTACGAGCTGCTTGATGAAACACTGATTGAGCGATTCCATGTGATGATACGGATTTTGATAAGTTGTACTCTATCTTTTAACACACTTTCAGATGCTCATTCATGTTTATTTGGCGCTGTAACTGGTATTATTAAGGCGGAAGAGAAGATCATGTGCTGCTGCTTCTCTTGAGCTGAGCCAGAGCAATCTCACGCCACAGCGCCAAAACGCTATTTACGTTTTTGAATTTCGTAAAAAAAAAAAAAAAAGGACCTAATTCAAAATTAGAGACTTTATTACATAAAAATAGTAACAAAGCACAAAGATTATTACGATTTATTGGATAGGATACACGCTACAATGTTCCATTCATTCATCAAATGAAAACAGGATGACTAATCGATTCTTGAGGTTTAAGAATCGATATCGGTTGGTAAAAATGAGAATCGATTAATATTGAGAAATCAATATTTTTTACCCAGCCCTAGTTGTATGCATAGACCGCATTTTTTACAGTGTGTTTAGGGGACAGGCAGCAAGCAGATAGTGAGATGTTTGCTGTATGTGACAAAAAATGTTTGGGCGTAAAAAACGTGTGACATCGCTTAGAGCACCTTTAATTATACTATCTCGTATTTGCACAAAATATTGTCATTTCCAAAAATATCTTTTACCTGGAGGAGGGAGGTCAAGCTTCATCCTGCGGAGTTCTGACATTGATGATTGTAGGTGCTCAATAACAACATCATCGCTCATGCTGAAAGATGAAGCAATGCGGTCCTGCAAGAACTCCCTCAGATCCTCCAGAGACATCTTCAGAAGAGTCTCTGAAAGGAAGAAAAAAGTTTAGACTTTATTAACTTCAAATTAATCTCAACTACAACATTAGAAACTATTCGCTGACAGTATATCTAGGAAGCTCATTTACTACTACAACCATAACTCTTGTGTTTTTGAGTGCTACTGCTCAGACTAAGTATAACCTTATTTAATGCTCAATGGTGCAATGATAGCTGAATTGCCCAAAATGGGATTTGTATAGCTAAAAACTGTCGGTAACCCGACCATTAACCACCATACAGTTCTGTGTTGTAATGGTGATTGCTCATGAATAGTCCAATATAGATATTGATTCTTAAAGAGATACTCCACTTTTTTGGAAATAGGCTCATTTTACCACTCCCCCAGAGGTAAACAGTTGAGTTTTACCGTTTTTAAATCCATTCAGCCGATATTTTTTTTTTTTTTTTTAAGAAGAATATCAGTAACCAGACAGTTTCTGGTACCATTGACTTCCATAGTATATTTTTTCCTACTATGGAAGTCAATGAGACCAGAAACTGTCTGGTTACTGATATTCTTCTAAATATATATAAAAAAAAATCTGCTGAATGGATTTGAAAACGGTAAAACTTAACTGTTTAACTCTGGGGGAGTGGTAAAAATAAGCCTATTTCCAAAAAAAGTGGAGTATCCCTTTAACTTTCAGTGTCCAGCCCAGATATTTAACCACTAGGCTACAGAGGTTCACCAAAGTGAAAATCTAACTTACTTTTGTACAATTTGAGGAGAGTATAGGCCATGGCGGTTAGAATCTTTTCTCCCTCTAATATGTAGATGTCCCAAAGACGCAGGGTGAGTGTGAAGGGCGTCTATGTAGAAGAAACACAACAGAGGCAAGTCATCAACCGGCTAAGCAAGAGCTCCGACATGAATAAAACATTGACATAAGAGGGATTCAGCCAAGCCATATAAAACTTTTAGTAGATGATGTTTCAAGTCTTTTTTACACAAAAACTTGCTGTAAGCGAGTGATGTGAAGAGTTGCAAAATTTGGAAATTTGGAAAAAAAATGACCTTTTGTCCCGGCCTGGACAAGATCAAGTAGAGGGGGTTCAGAAAGAGATTTCGAATGTATCTACGCTTAAAAGGTGCATATTAGTACCTTACAGAGTTTTCACACCCATAGATCTTTTTTTTTTCCGAAACAGGGACTTAATTTGTCATAATGTTGCTTTTTCTTCTTGGTTTGGTTCGCTTTCACAAGGCAACTTTCAAAAGCGTACTAAAATGTGTTTGCACATGTCACATGTGAGTATCATCCTATTGGAGGAATAGCCCCCCTATTATAGTGCAGGAATCAAGGCTTCATCGGGACAGCATACTTGCACGGAGAAGCACAATTACACAACGTTTTAAGATGAGGAGGTGCTCTTTTGGTTTTCAACTGTGACAACTAATATGCTCACTCACAGAATCAGACACTACAGATATTTATATAACACATTTCCTGTTATGAATTATAATAGACCCCTTTTGCATCAACGTCACAGTTACAAAACAAAGTGAAAACTGGAGGCGGCCAATACAAACCAGCACATATTCGGCTACATAATAAGGAGCTTAAATTATTGTTACTATTATTAAATTTCATCGTATTGTGTTGTTTGGTGCAAGAATTGATGAAAAATGAATATGCTGTATCTTTTTATTTCTAGAAAATATTCACATCATTAAAATCGCACTGTAATGTCACTCTTTATAAAATTGTCGTGGTCTCGGCGCTGGCTCGGCAGAACTGCGGATCATACACACAAGTCTTGTACAGGACCATATAGGCATCTAAAGATTTATATGCCCTCAGTTTCTCTTTACGATCGGGTTCTCTATAAGGTAGGTGTAGAAGTCAGGCCACTCAACCGAGGTAACGTAACGTTAATCCTGTCAGATCGTCTATACATTGATTGAGCATGTAGGCGGCTACGGGTCGGCCAATCTGGTTCTGTCCGTTAAAAATAACTTTTGGAAATAACAATCGCGGTCCTGGACACTGATTTACCTTACACATTAAGATAATATCGGATTTTCTCCAGTCATTGTTAAAAAACAAGCCAACAATACTTGCTAACTAGCGCTAGTGAAGCGGCCAGAGGAATCTTTCTGCCTCCACCTAAGCTCCGCCCACAAAAAACGTCACCGTGTTTACCAACTGAAAAGGGGTCTATACCCTTTGGTTCATTGGTTCAGATCACACCTCAAAAGGAAAGCACCCTAGACTTTGGCAATTTTGGAGCCATTGTTTTGGTGCGGATCCGAACGCGATTGACATGTTCACATATGCCTAAACGAACCAAAGCAAGGGAGAAAACACTCTAGGAGAGTAGTAATATGTAACCTTACGGTAACACTATGAACCGTTTAAAAGTAAATAACAATAGTAAAATTGTTGACAAGTAGAGAATGAAAACTGTGCCTCACCCTGTCAATAAAACATTGAAGGAACCATTTGGTTGTGTAGATACCAGTGCACATCTGTTCCTTATCCTGAGTTGAAGACAACATTTGAAAAACCAAGGAAGTGTTACTCATATTTTGTTAAAGCCAAGCAACTTGAGATTAAAATAAGAAATCTCACCAAGTGTTTCCTGAGTTTGGGAAGGAGTTTGGACAGTATTTGGTCATGATGAAGCTGAAAACGATGGAGTTTGGGAAATCCTGGGATGAAGAATCCTTTTAGAAACCACAGAGAGATGTATCAATAATTACAGCAGGTTCTCCAAAATCAAAAGAGCTATCTATTTATCTACTGAGAATGAGAGATGCTCACCATGCATGGCATGTTTCTGATTGGTCAGTAGTTGTGATAAGGCCCAGAAGGCATCTTCCTCATTCATGTACATGAGCAGAATGGCAGCGATCTGGCTCATCCCTTGACAGTAGCTCACCTCCTACACAAAACCACATAACCAGCAGTGTTGAGTGAGTTGCGCAAAAAAACAAACATTCAGACATATAGAACGGCCTAAGCCCTAAGGAAACGGTAGTTCTCATTTCCCTAATTACAAAACTTGTTAGTGCTTCTGTAATACTTTTGCTATAGAAGAGAACATCTCCAGCTTGTTCACTCCACCTCTTTCGCTCTCTCAATCTCTCTCCCCCCTCCATCGCCCTCATTTTGCCCAGTTTGACCCACTTTGTATAGGCACATTGGGAAGGAAAAGGAATAGAACACCATTTCCTGATTCTTTGAGACTGACACACTCCTCATTTTTACAAACAAGGAAATTTATGTGCGTCTAATGTTCCAGCAGTTTTGTCAAGCATCCTGTCAAACCATCATTATTCCACTTCGATCCTTTATATCGCTTCTGTTTATGGTGGTCAGTTCCCAATAAGTACCCCAAAAATAAATTAAATAGCATATCGTACAAATAGCACTAGACAGCCAGCCTCTGTTATGGTTTTTAGATCCTGGTCAGCCATTGCCTGTGGGCAACATTAGAGTCACTGTCTCTGAAATTAGGCTTTCTCCAGAGCAGATTCTATACTTCAGTCCTCAAGAACCAGACAAACAATCAAAATTTGAAGTCACTACTTCTCTTAATTTTGTCCATCTTGAATTTATATTGTTACTGTACTGGGTGTATTATGCGATTGCTTTCTTGACAAAAAATACTCTTGTAAAAACCAAAAAACAAACAAAAAAAAACACTTGGATTATTTGTTTGTCTTAGTGCCAGGTCAAACTGGTTTGTAAGCTAGTTTTAGAATGGTTTTGGGTCGTTACTGGTTAGGCTGAGAAACTTGGTAACTAGCCAAACATCTGAACTCATTTATAGGCTGGAATACACAACACAATTTACTGTCTGGAGGAGCCAGTCTGTAGATATTGTGCAGTAAAGAGTTGACCAATTTCCCAGAGAATAGCATTGTGTATGATGGGCACAGACTTCCTGGCGTATTCCGGCTTTAAAGTTCACTTTGATATTAATTTTTTGATATGTTTTAGCTTACCTCAAGGGCATCCAAGATGTAGGTGTCTTTGTTTCCACAGTATTTTAAATTTTGATGTTTTTAGGTCAAACCATTCTTGTCGGTCAGTCATATAATGGAGGTTTATGGGGTCCATCTCAAAGAGCATGCAGAGAAGTCCAAATTAAACATGATTTAATGACTCGTAAATGTAAGTACACATTGATGGCCTAAGACATGAAACGAGCAGTTTGTGTGAGAAAACGGACAGTGTTTATATCGTTTTTACCTCTTGAAACCACCGCCACGTCCAAGTGATTTGAAGGCACGGGCGCTTCTGTCTGCGTAAGCGTTGGAAAGCGCCGGAAGTGATCTCTTGCGCGGTTGCGGGAAAAAAAATTTACGTTGTCTGTTGATGTATCGAAATCGTCTTCCATTGCAATTTCCTGTATATCTAAATATATTTAGATCTTCACAGTGAAGGATAACACTTCTGTGATCTCTGTGTAAACAATGAGTAATGTACACGTGCGAGAGATCACTTCTGGGGCTTTCCGGTGCTTGCGCAGACCGAAGCGCCCTCACCCTCAGAGTACTTAGACGTGACTGTGATTACAAGAGGTAAAAGAGATATAAATACTGTTCGTTTTCTCACACAAACCGCTCGATTCGTGTCTTAGGCCATCAATGTGTACTTACATTTACGAGTCATTAAATCATGTTTAATTTGGACTTCTCTGTGCATGCTCTTTGAGGTGGACCCCATATACCTCCATTATATGACTGACAGACAAGAACGGTTTGATCGAAAAATATCAAAATTGAAAAAACTGTGGAAACAAAGACACCTACATCTTGGATGCCCTTGAGGTAAGCTAAAACATATCAAAAATTAATTTCAAAGTGAACTATCCCTTTAATTTTAAGTTTATACAACTTTTGCATTTGCAAAAAAAGGGGTTTGTGGGCAACATTAACCCAAAAGAGACATGCACAGTTCCAAAATTGGGAATAGTATATCATCCGGGTTTATAGTACCTACTATTTTCAACATGCTACCATTTGGGACACAATTGTCCCATGTAGCTTTCAAGCTATACAATACAAATACGTATGCAAATTGGCATGCAGCCATGTCATTATTCACTCACTGATAAAAATACAAGTTTCATTTCATTGTTAGGGTCTGTAGTCATTATATTTAGCTCAACTTAAGAACAATAGAGATGAATGGGAAGTCGCCATTAGTGCGGTATGTGTGTCGGTGTAGGACACCGAACTGCCCTTCTTCCCCTCCGCCCTGGTTCATCCAGCACATGCTGTTCTGAGTTACATAACACATTTACACACAAACATTCAGACTCAGTCAGTCCCTCACCGTGTTGTAGACCGAATAAGCTGCCAGCACATGGAACAGGGCTTGCTGTCTGTTAAGGACAAAAAACACAGGTCAAAGTTCAACGACAAGATTTCAAATATACAGTTTCAATGTTTTAATGATGTGATACTAATAGTGGGCAAAAAATTTGGTCAATGATATGAAGCTACTATTTTTGTGACTTAAAGGAGGCGTATGCAGGATTGTGGCCAAAACTGGTACTGCAATCACTTTCAAATTACAGTAGAGCAGTGGATTTTTTTGGGATTTCCCAACGTTAGATATTTTTGTTATCCGATTCCGACACGTTTGTATCTGCAGCTGTGGTAACTAGAGAAGAGCTGGCAACCCGGATGCCGCAACACTACTGACTCTGTGATTGGTAGATCAGTGGAGGGTGACGCATCAGAACAAAACACAACATGACAACATCAATATCAGGGATGCGAGGGATGCGACTTCACTTTTTAAACGACAATATTCTGGCCAGACTACTGTTGTCAGTGATGAAATGAACATGATTTCGTAATGTCTAGTGACATATCAGGGAAAAATGTATGATTAATTGAAATACATTTTGCATACAGCTCCTTTAATATAGTATTCAAAAGTACATTTAAATGTGCATTTCATACATACATAATGTTCGAATATGATTATTCAATGATAAACTCGTCTTCAATTTCGGAATTCAGATTAATACATGATATTTTTTATATGTGGTTATACCAGTGGCTCTCAAAGTGGGGTCCGTGATCTATAGCCAGGGGCTCCACGAAATAATTTATAACAGCCTACCGATTTTCCAGACTATAAATCATGTTTTCTTTATCATCTGAAAACATGATATTAGGGCTGAACGATTATAGAAAATAATCTAATTCCGATTTTTTTTTTTCTTTTTTTTTTTTTTTTTTTTTTACTAATAATGCGATTGCGATTTAATATGCGATTTTTATTTATTTATTTTTTTAAAGTTCTTTACCTTCTGTATTAGTCGACAAAGACAAGCAATAAATCATTGTACTGTAGGGATGGGAATCTTTAGATGGCTCATGATCTGATCTACTTTTTTTCTTATTAATTAATCTTAATAACACTTAAAATATGTATTTAATTACATGTGTAAAAACACATACTTTAATATATGTGTATATAATATATATATAATATTTAATTAAACCAATTACATGTTGAGAAATTTAAATAGGCTATATAAACTAATATAGCTTCAAAATATAAAAGCTAGTAAATAAAGAGAAACAAAAAAGCATTACAAGCAATAAACAAAGAGTACTCTCAGTATTTAAAAGTAGGCTGTCTGAATGTTTTTCTTTCAAGAGCTGGAGTGATTTCCCCTTCAGTTTTTAAAATGAAAAGCTGTATTCACACTAATGCACATATCCCTTTTAAAATTGTAAATGTGGTTTGTCCTGTTGATTGAAGATATAACTGACCGTGTTTACATTAATTTCGCGTCATAAAAGCATTTTGACATGCAAGTACGTTTAACCAATGAGTCGCTCACGGCCGCATGCACGAGCGCTCTTCACAAAGTGCGCGTTAGTATTTTAAAATGAAAGCAGCCTTCTCAGTGATATTCATATTTTTAATATATAAGCCAACTGCATTCCAAAAGACGTATATAACCGACATATAACAACCGAACGAATACCAACCGAACGAATACTGTGAATACCAACCCACCGAACTAATATTCGGGTCCAGCCCTAATCATTTCCAATTAAAATATTATAAAATATTAATATATATATTTTTTTTATTGTTCAAATTAATTTTTATATTGTTCCTTTTTTTTATCCAGGACATCTTCTTTGTCAGTACCCCAACTACATGTGCCGTGAGGGTCCAACCCAAATTGAACAGTAGAAAGAAACCAGCTCACAGTAGCAGTAAGAGTCCATTCATGCATAAGCCATCACATCCAAACGAGATGCATGTTAATAATTCATAGCATCTGCAGATTTAAAAAGATTTAGCAATGCACAGCAAGACCCTTGATAACAAGCCAGACGAAAGCAGAATTGTGACTAGTGTGCTGTAGAAACACTGACGAGTAACGCAAACAAACAGCAGAAGTGTTAAACTCCACTTCCGCCCCATATCCTCTTATTGGCTCCGCTGCACTAATACAAATGTAGAAGTCATTACTCAAAGCTTCCATCCACCAGATAGCCTGCCTGTGCAAAGTGGTTGGTGGTTGATCTACGTCTATTGTGAGAGTGCCACCCATGCAAACCACATGGCTGAAACCTCTCCATGCACTTTGGTCTACACACCTTGACGTTTGAAGACCATTTCAGTTTGATAATACGTGGAGCACAGTTGAATATCACATTTGTGAAGGGTTATTGAACAGCTTCTGGTCTACGTTTTGTTAAAAAGCCATGATTGACTCGTTGGCAGTTTAAAAACTGTTTTTTTATTGTGACATCTGTTCATTCTTAAGAGGATATACAATCCCAAGTGGGTCTTTATGATTGTCCGGCGCAAAAGGAAATAATTTTTTTTTTCATGACACTGTGGCAAAACTTTAGTTGTTATGGACAACATCAAAGTATATATTTATTCTGGGCATAATGGTTACGAGTCACCGGTTGTGTCATTTCCTGTTAGGCCACTCACAGAAACAGGAAGCCGAACAAAAATGCAGTGACAAAGAGGAAGTTTGCTTTTGTTTTGGTTAACAAGGTCTGAGCACCTCATTTAAGAACCATCTCAACACAAAAGTCTGGGTAACACACACACGCACACACTCCAAACAAGTAAAATGCCAAACAGACCTTGAGTGAAACGAAGATGCAACTAGATTTTGTGTGTGTATGTATTCATTCACACAATATCTTACTTGACCCCAAAGCGCTCCATGAACATGATATGGTTTCTGAAGGTCCTGTTGACATCAAGGTCAATCTGCTTAATTTCTGTTGAATATTTCTTGGCTTGTTCCTTCATTTTCTGCAACAACATGAAAACAAAAAATATTCGAAATAATACAAATGTTAAACAATTCCGAAATTTGCAGACTGCTTTAAAAAAAAAACATCCTTTCGATAGTTAAACATTGACATTTTAAAAAAGATTTCCCAAACACTGCCCATCTGCCATTGGTCAGTCAAACAGAGTGTCACCTCTTACACTCATGCCATTGGCTGATCCAAAAATCATGACAAAATCTAACTGCTCAAGAACATTTTTGAAGCATCAATGTTCATCCACTACACTGAAAATCAATGAACAAATGGCTTATTAATGGTTATCTGTGCATATTAAACTTATAGGATTTTTTTTTTTGTTTAACATTGTCACTAACATTATATAGACAGACAGGTTTGGAGCAATATGACAAATATAATTTGTATTAAATTATCCTTTAAATTAAATCCACAGTTAATCTTTTAAAAACAATGCATTTACAGCCACTGGTTTCGATTTAAGGGGATACTTCACCTCTGGAAAGATGAATGTGTATTCAGAATGGGTCATTTATGTAGAAGAAATGTGAAAATATTTTTTTTCATTTGGAGCTTTCTAGAATGAAAAAAGCCAGGAAATGTATTTTTGGCTCATGTGGATGAAAGATTACAACTCCCAGAATGCATTTGCTTCGCTGCCCTAGGAGGCCACGCCTACCGGTAACAGAGCGCAGTAGTTCAACAACAAGAAGTCTAGGCTACTAGTGAGTCTCCGTGATGAGTCTGCCCGAAAATGTGTTTCGAGATCGCCCAAAATGTCCGGGATTCGGCTTTTGCGTTCTACAGTCGCCATTCATTATGTTTTCTGTGGCGAGCGGGATGAGTGGCGAGGCCGGTGGCGTGAGTACCGATGAGCGACACCTTAGCAATGTTAAAACGCACATTAACCGATCACTTGTTTAGCGTTCATGTAAACACTACATACAGATTCACCAATCGAATGAATTCAGTTAGATTGAAACAAAAGCTGTGCATGTAAACAATGAGTGGCGACTGCAGAAAGCAAAAGCTGAGCTATGGACATCGACGGCCGGACATGTCCGGAAAAAGAGGAAGGTAACCTCAGCTTTCTCCACAGAACAAAAGCCTGCTAGCTTAGCTTCCAAAAGAAGATGGCTGACACTATGTGTCCATTCTGTGAGTGAGATCCCATCACCCTCTATGGTCGGGTTGAGAACATGCGGGACTCCCCCTACTACTGACTGTAGTCTTTAGCCTCTGGCCAAAAAATCCTTAGATGATCCAAAATTAAGATTTTTGCGTCATCTGAGGATTTTTTCCAGACAAAAATACATAAATCTCTCGTCTCAGGGGGATATGAGTGTGGAAAGCACGGTAATTTGAAAATACTACTGGTTTTCTACTAATGCAAAGCTTAATGCTAAATTCTGAAGTATCCCTTTAAGAGAAACACTTCTGGGTTTTTTTAATCATCCATCAGAGCAGTAAACAAGTTATAAATATTACAGCGGCACCTAGATATATTTAGAAATTCAGATACAGATACGCATAAATATAAATCCTGAGCTCTACAGCTCTACAAAAAAAGTACCTGTATCAGAACGTTCAAAAATTTGGGGTTAGTAAGATTTTTAAATGTTTTTGAAAGAAGCCTCTTCTGCTCACCAAGGCTGCATTCATTGGTTCAAAAATAGTTAAACAGTAATATTGTGAAATATTATTACAATGTGATCATTTTTGTTTATCCCTGTGATGATAAGTCTTCCAGTCCAGTCTTCAGTAAAATTCTGATAAGATGATTTGCTGCTCAAGAAACATTTCCGATTATGATCAATTTAAAAATAAATTGCTGCTTAATATTTATATAAAACTTAAACTTAATATTTACTTAAAACTGTGATACTTTTTTCAGGATTCTTTGATAAATAGTAAATAATAAATCTTTTGTAATATGATAAATGTCTTTATTGTCATTTTTGATCAAGTTAATGTCTTCGGTGCATAAAAGTTTATTTAAAAAAATATATGAATCTTACAGCCCCCAAACTTTTGGATGGTAGTGTGTATATATACACACTACATAGTCTCAATTAATCAGACTTTTGCAGCATAAAGTCTTGTCTCCGTTACAGCTTATTCTGGAAACTTTGTTTTATTTTTTGGTGTAAAGGAGAACTTCGAACCACAAACATGCCGCAGCGAGACTTTTAAAAGGCATTCGTAAACAGGAACATATTACCCCGATTTTAGCATCCCTTCACTGGTTGCCGGTTCGATATTAAAATTCTTTTATTTGTTTCTAAGTGCCTAAACAACCTAGCTCCCCTCTATCTATCTGAGCTCTTAGAGCAATATAATCCCTCCAGAGATCTTAGGTCAGATACACAGAAACTTTTAGCCATACCACGGTACAGGTTAAAACACAGAGGTTATCGTGCCTTTGCCATTGCGGGCCCGACATTATGGAATAGCTTGCCTATTCAGGTTTGTTCCGCACCTGATCTGTCAATTTTCAAGTCACGCTTAAACACATTTTTATTCTATCGCTTTTAATAACGTGTAATGTGCATTTTAATGTTTCTTGCTCTGTTGTGTGATATTATATTGCTTTGTAAAGCACATTGGTCAGCTTGTCTGTATAAATGGTGCTATATAAATAAATTTTGACCTTTTGAACTTGACAAAAACCGTTCATACAGTTTTCCAAGATGGCTCCTGTCAGTATATACAAAGTGAACCGTCTTTATATAGTATCTTCTTATTAAACGGTCAGTACACTTACATAGTTCTTAATGCTTCGTTTTGCATGTATAGAGCCTGATTATGTTACCGTGTTAGTGTGGGGCTATTTTGAGCCTTGTTAGTGGTATTAACTAGCAATTTCTCTTTACTTATTGAATGCCCCCATATACTAGCCATAGACGCTAAACAGTTTTTAGAGTTAAAACTCTTTACATTCGATTATCATGACAACAAATCTGAGAAGAGAACGGTCGACTAGGTACCGATGTGTTATTAGACCAAAGGTTCATTTTGCGCCAGAGTTCTCCTTTTAAAGTATAGTTCACCCAAAAATGAAAATAGTTATTAATTACTCAAGCCTAAATTAAATTTGTTCATCGTATTAAGCTTTGAAATATTATTGATTTTGAAGCGTCATAGTGGTAGTTGCGTAGACTGTCAATGGAGGAACAGAAATCTCTCAGACTTAATTTGTGTTCTGAAGACGAACGAAAGTCTTACGGGTTTAGAACACAATATGAGGGCGAGTAATTAATGACAAAATTTTCATTTTTAGGTGAATTATCCCTTTAATCCCAAGGAACTTTAATGTAAGAGTTGTTAAGATTATACAAACCATGCGAAGCAGAAAACCTTTGTTATGAAATTAAAGCATTGCTGCGCCAAGAGGGCAGAGGCAAAACATGTCTGGCTAATTTAAACCCAAACAATCACTCAGGACAAAGTAAAACCCAAACAAGTGAGTCATTGAGTGAACGGACCTCAAACAGCCACTTTTAATTCAAAGGAGCTACTGGAACCCAAACAGAAAATCCTTGCAAAGCTCCTACTGTACCTCGTACTTCCTGAAGTTTGCCTGCTTCACATTTTGCACATCCAACAGCAGAGCCCAGGCCTGACCGCGCAGCTTCAAGGGAATCCCCTTGTACACCCGCTTCATCATCTGCAAAAGGCACATGGGAAACAAATAGATTTATTTTTGGATCTCCATAATGCCAGACATGTGAACCTCTTTAAACACAGCCTTGTAAAAGACAACGTTCAATATTTCAATATGGGAACTATTTTATGATTGTTTCGAATTCATCCAATTCAAGCAATTAAAGTTACCTTTTCACTGTTTTGGTACTTTTCCCACTTTTTCACCATCTTAACCCATTTTTCCTCTCTTTCGACCTCCTGGAGTTTATACTAGAGACAGAGCATAATGAATTTTAGTCTTAAATCTAAAAATGTACCAAAAACAAAGAGGATAGTCAAAGTCACAGAAACAGGAAATTGTTAAAGCTAAACCCCCAAGTTAGTTTAAATGTAACATCACAACTTGAATGCCTAAAATTGTATATACAGTAGTAGACAATTCAATGGGTTAACTTATTTAAAATGAATTTTGCCATAGAAAATTTAACAAGGATTGCAGGTGCAAGGAAAGCTGATATTCTAATGTCACCTTCTCCTCCACTGCGGTGGGTGTTGGCAGTTCCTCTTCACTGGAAAGGAAGTATAAAGGGTAAATGGATGTTAAATCTGTATTTCAAAATTCAGAAACTTCATTGGACGATTTTACTGTGGACTTATGAAACACAATCCTGACAACACTGTTCTAGCGTTTACAGTCAGGCAAAATAATTCGCACATATTCTTTGACAACACAGTTGAGCACAGTTGAGCAATTAAAGGGATAGATCACCCAAAAATATCAATTCTGTCATTAATTACTCACCCTCATGACGATCCAAACCCGTAATGGTGCGTTCACACCGGACGTGAATAGTGCGTCAGGCGTGAATGATTTCAATGCTAAGTTAATGCAAAGACGCGTTATGCACATAAAAATTCCTGCTGCGCAAATGAGGCGTAGAGCACAGCGCGGTAGACGCGAATACACCCCATTCGCACGTTAACTTTGCACGAATGGCGCAAATTGAGCTTCTGGCGCGTTAAGCGCAAATGATTTAGTTAGTGCTAATAGTGCATTCACGCGTTTGACGCGAATTCGCATCTGCCGCCAGAGTTGAAAAATCTGAACTGCGGCGTCAATTCGCACCGCGTTAACCAATCAGGAGCCTAGCTGCTTGCTCAGAGTGGTGACTCTCTCAATGAATGCTCAAACAACATAAATAAGATGGCCGCCAACGGGTTTCGATTCTGACTTGCATGACACGTAAATTTCGCTTCAAACTTTTGTTTTTATGCAAGAATTAACACAAAGTGGTCAAGCGTCAAACTAGACACGGTAGACGCGAATTTGACGAGCTATTCGCGTCCAGTGTGAACGCACAGTAAGACGGATTTTCTTTCATCTTCGGAAAATAAATCTTTGTGATGAAATCTGAGAGCTTTCTGTTCCTACATTGAAAGCTATGCAACATCCACATCAACGCTTCAAAAAGCTCATAAAGAGAACTAGAGCCAGACCGATATACCGATATTAGGCATTTTCCAAACTATACGTTTCGGGAGGTATAATGGCCGATAAATGAATATTTCAAAAATAAAATAAAAACGAATCACGCTTGAACCATGTTGGCAACACTCATTGAGTTGGTCACGACACATTCATAGCTTGAATAACAATTAAATCTCTTCTTGGCCTGTTATATTGAAAATGTATGTTTTCCAATTTGCAGTATGACGTTATCCATTGCTAAATTATGGCTCATCATAGACTAGCAAACCACAAAGCTAGCTAATGCCACTATCATCAGTCTGTTCTGTTGTGACAATAAAAGAAACAAGTTTCTTATTAAAATGTATCATCATATTTTATTTAAAACTCATAAATAACTACAAATAACTAATGTTAGGGAAATCTGTTAATGTTTTGTTGTGCGTTTCTGAAAAAATAAATAAATAAATAAAAATATCGGCCGATATATCAGAATATCGGATTTTAAAACCAAGAAATATATGTATCGGTATCAGCCTTCAAAATCCTTTATCGGTCGGGCTCTAAAGAGAACGAACAGATTTAATTTAGGCTTTTATTCACATATAAATTTGATCAGCGAACATAAACCGAAGCTCAACTGAACCTGCTTAATATGCGAAAACACACCTCATTGGTTCTCGAGAATGAACCTCATTGGTTCTTGCACATCAAGCAAACACGCTTGAGCCTCTGTTTACCACAACTGATGTGTGAGTTGATGAAGGTTTATTTGTGAATAAAAGCCTCAATTCAATCTGTTCATCATATAAAACGATTGAGCCTCTTCAGAAAATGTAGACTTAACCTCTCGATTAATATGGATTAGTTTCACAATCTCTTTATGAACTTTTTGAAGCATCAAAGTGTCAGTTGCATAGCTGTCAATGGAGGGACAGAAAGCTCTCAGATTTCATCAAAAATATCTTCATTTGTGTTCTGAAGACGAACGGAAGTCTTACGGGTTTGGAACAACATGAGTGGGAGTAATTTGACAGAATTTTCACTTTCGTGTGAACTATCCCTTTAACATCTCCAAGTAAGGTGAGAGGTCATCGTATTGTTGGACTGAGTGGCAAAACTGCCAGGACAGGCGAGACTTACTGCAGGAAACCGAAGCGGTCTGTGACCCTGTAGACGCTGTAGTCGGCATCCTCCCAGGGCTTAATGTGCACACCCTCCTGCCGGCCCTGCAATCAGCCCAACAAACACACTGAGAAACTGGAGCAAAGGCAAAAGATCCTCAATCCATGAGACGATTGAGAATCCAATAACAACATGACACAGCAAAAGGCAATAAAAACATTTGAAAACACGCCCAAACTCTGTTTAGAACAATCCAGAAATCCCAAAAAAATGGGAATACAAGAAAGTCCCATAATTTCTTCTTACAGAGTGATTTCACTGTATAATCCTGAATTCCTTATGTGTATAAACTTCACACACTTATCTAAAGGTATCCTGAGAATTTACATCCAGACTGTAGTCAGTGTAGCAGAAATGTAAGCATGACATCCAGCTGTTGTCCATCAAGACGCTTCCTCCTCAAAAGATTTTGGCTGTTTTGCAAGCTAAAACATGCTGATTTCTCAAGCTGTATGGAGGTACGAAGGGAATAAGACTTGTCTGGACCCATTGCTCACATAAAAACCCGTCCATAAAAAGGTCAAAGTCTTTATGTTGATCAATGGATGGATGTTAAGGCAGAATAGATATACCTTCAGTGCCCATGATATCCCACAACCCTATGTCTACAGTTCACACACAATTAAAACATAATGGCATCCGATGGACACATTTTGTGGAGCAGAACACACATTGTGGACACCAAATATTTTGGTTTTATCAAAATCTTTGATATTGGCTGTATTTAATTAAATTTAAATTTAATTTGTTTTAGACCATTACACATGATGTTTTCTGCTTCTGAAGCATGTCTGAAACATTTCCTTTCGTACATTCCTGCAAAACCACTGTCTGTGAACTCATGACTGGGCAGTGAGGCAGACACAGCCACAATCTATCCCCCGAAAAATGACCACAATATGAACCACATCTACCTTCACCCACATATTATACATCAGCCTTAATGTAACTTGTCTTACATCAGTTGTGTGCAGCATCTCTAAGGAAAGTTGTTCTTTGTCAAGATCAGCAAATTGCAGCAACCTTTTCTGTCTAGTGGTTATATATTTGGTATAGTTGATCCATGAGTTATCACAATCATTCCCTTGAGCAAGACACTTAACCCTAGGTTACTCCCAGCCCCAAATCTTGCCTCTCCCAAGAGGATTGTCCTTGTATGTACTGCAAAGACATCAGATTTAAAGGGATAGTTCACCCAAAAATGAAAATTATACTGTGATTTGCTCACCCTCAAGCCATCCAAGGTGTATATGACTATCTTCTTTCAGACGAACAAAAAAGTTTTAAAAGTTATATTTAAAAATATCCAGGCTCTTCCAATCTTTAGAGAATGGGGGGCGAGATTTTGAAGGCCCCAAAATGCATCCATCCATCCATCATGAAAAAAACAAAAAAACAAAAATCCATATTTAAAACTTTATTAGCTATAATAACTATCTTCCGACAGACGGCCGTACGCATCGGTTTGCAGCGGAAGAGTAACTCCTGACCCGACGCATGACTTTAATGACAGAGGACAGAGCAAAACAAAACACTGGTCACGATTAGAAGTCTAAAAGAGAAGTTTTAAAGAGAAATGTTGGAGTATCTCAATATAAGAGAAGAGGAACTTGAGTTTGTTGCACAGCCCTCCGTGTTTAAACCTCGAGAGGCGTCTAAACCCAAGATAGTCCTACATCCTACATCGTCATACATCTCGTCAGAGTTACTCTTGTGGCGCAAGTCGACTTTGCAGTATCGCTTTGCTTAAAGTAAGGCGTACTTTTATGATGGATGGATGCATTTTTTAGGGTTGTAAAATCTCATCCCCCGTTCACTCCCATTATAAAGCTTGGAAGAGCCCGGATATTTTTTTAAATACATCTCGGATTGTGTTTGAAAGCAGATAGTCATATACACCTAAGATGGCTTGAGGGTGAGTAAATCATGGGATCATTTTTAGGTGAACTATTACTTTAATGGCTACTTACTACTTTACTTGTGCTATTTTGTCAGCATGCCTTGCTGTCCATAAAGGTGAGATCATTAACCAGTTTCCTCTTGTCTGGACATTGGTTCAAACTGGTCTCCAAAACTTAGGTCAACAATTACAGAAAGTCAGAAGGTAGACTACTGAAAGGTTGTAACTTGCCTTCTCATATTTGTTGATGATTTCAGCCCGTTCTTCAGCTATTAGCGTATCAATGTCCTTCTTCATCTCAAAATCTGAAAAAGGAACAAAACAAACGTAAGACTTTTGAGCCAACTGGCTCATCCAGATGAATGGGAACATGTCCCTGAGGGTTACTGACATTACTATTCCTCTACTGATCCACCTTCAGTTCCGTTTGGGTTAAACGCATTAAAATGCTCCGAGGAATCCACATTCCACCAATATTACAACATTCATCCAAGTTCTGCCAGAAGCTGAGAGACACCCATGTGAGGTGAAGTTGCACAAATGCACATTCATGATGAGCCAAAAACAGACATGTGCTGTTATGTCAGCTAATTCTTCAAGCATTCTTTTTTTCAGTCCAACAGTCTTGTCAGGAAAAATGCAAACTCAAACCCCAGTAGTGGCAATCCATAAAGCCCTATCCATTGTGGCCTAAAGCAAGCCACCCATATTTATTACTTCAGGGCAGGCTGACTAAACCATTAATAAATTAACTGGGCCCGTATTCACAAAGAATTTTAATGCTAAAAGTAGCTTCTAACTGGCGAATTTAGGAGCAACTCCTAAAAATAATGGGCGTGTCACTCCTAACTTTAGGACTTTTTTTTAACTAAGAGTAATTCACGAAACATTTTAGCCCTTCTAAAGTAGCACCTAAGTCTGAGATAACTCCTAACTCACTAAGACCTTTTCACAAAGGATTGTAGTGCATACCACCGCCTCTTGCAGTCGTCGGAGGTCCGCGAAACAAGTGGGAATGCTGCATTGATCTGCAAACAAATCCTCTCCCATCTCACACTTAGTTGTGCTTGATATCCCAGTGCCGAATTATTATTATTTTTTTTTTTCTTTTTCACACCAATAACTGATCCTGCGTCCAGTTGGGCCTTCTTTTCCATTTTGGCGAGTTCAAAATCCACTGTCACTCAACTATTAGGCTACATTTCTTCAGTAGGAGCAACATTTCTTTGCTTTAAGAAGTCTATTTAGGCTAATAGGAAGTCAATTAACCAAGCCAGTGTTAATGCAAGTGTCGTTTTTCATTATTAGGCAAGTGTCGTTTTTCATTATTAGGCAAGTGGCGGTTTTCATTGGGGTATTAGGCTACCTTGATTTAATTTAATTGAATTAACAGCTTTTCTCTCTCTCTGCCTTTTTAAAATTACACTTCACTGGGGCCTGCACAAACATGTCATTATATATGCATTTCAATGACATTAGGCTGTCAACTTTAGTCGTTTAGTCGACTAATCACTCGATGCCTTCTTGGTCGCCTGACATTCGTATTGGTCGACCAGTCGCATTTTTTTAAAAATACATTTTCAATGATTTACTCCTTGATATTTATTCCTTTATAAGCAGTTATTTATTACTGTATTCTAAATATGTTTTATCCCCAACTTTAAATGCTTTAATTTAGGCTATTTTTGTAACTGCGCCACAGTTTAGCGCACACACTCGGGATCCGCACCTGTGGCTGGCTGCGCTGCTGCTTAGCGCTCAGTAAGGGATATAGGTAGCTTTGCTGTATTAATTTAGGTAGAAGTTAGAACGCTAACTTGTTTTGGCTTTAGTCAAAATCGAAATCTTTTGTCTGGCTACATTTTTAAACTAAGACTACAAGACTGTGGAGGTAGGCGACCGCGACCACGTTGCTCCATTATGAGCACGCACATCGCGGGCCTACATTTGAAATCAACTTGAGCGCACGAAAGACATGAGCAGCCTCTTTAACGGCTTTATCATGATTGTGATTTCTTAATATGTTTTCGTTTTTTATTTGTACACTTGACGCATTTGAAAATAGCCTAAATAATATAACAAAACAAAAATAAACCTTTATGCCTTGCAGCCTTCCTACAACACAGCCTATTTCAGATTGTTTTTAGGCTTTTTTTTTAAACGCCTAGATCGGCTGGACAAATGTTAACCCATAGCTTTGTAAATAAAGAAGAATATAGCCTGTATAAACAAGAGTTTTGTTAATATTTTTCATTATGTGGCAGATAGCAGTTATATTTTTTGTAGCGTGTGGTGTGATCAGGTGCACGATTGTGACTGTCACCATAGACCTAGGACTGCGCTAGGACTTTTTGCAGTTAAAAAAAAAATCACTTAATTTTCAAAGAATTGCATTATTATTATAGTTTTATTTATTTTTTATGTTTTTTCGTTGTTGTTTTATCAATGCTCTGACAATTGTTAAAAAAATGTTCAATCAAAACATCAGTTTTTTGGGGTTTTTTTTAGTCGACTAATCTTTGCGCTGGACAAGACTTTGGTCGACTAAGAATTTCTTTGGTTGACTGCAGCCCTATTACTATTATTATTCTGTGTAGGACACAAACATATTAAGATGTCGTAATTCCATGATTTGTTGTGTCTGTTATGTTCCACATGATGGCCCAGTCATCTAACAACCAATCACCGAGATCATTGCGAGGAAGCTCGTGCATGAGAATTGACGTCATCAATAGCAATGAAGACTCGCTCTTAGTTTAGAAGTTGTCATTTTTCCTTACATAGAGTAGGTCAGAAAGGCATTGTGAATAACTTTTAAGAGAAAACTCCTGGCTAAAATATTTTAATGCGATTTAGGAGTACTCCTAGTGGTAAGATAATATTCTTTGTGAATACAGCCCCTGAAACTTAAAGGGATAGTTCACCTAAAAAAAAAAAAAAAAAAAAAAAAAAAACTGTCAATCAATCACAAAAATCACATGTTGTTTCAAACCTGTAGGACTTTTATTCATCTTCAGATCTCTTTATGAACTTTTTTAAGCGTTGAAGTGGTTGTTGCATAGCTGTCAATGACTGGACAAAAATCACTCAGATTTCATTAAAAATATATTAACTTTTGTTGCGATGATGCGAAAGTCTTACATGGAATGAAATGAGGGTGAGTCATTAAAGACAGAATTTTCTTTTTCTTTTTTTTGCGTGAACTATCCTTTTAAGTCACTTGGGATAAAAATGTAACTCAAAAGTCCGACTCAAAAGTTAGACCAATTAGACTCTACATGTAGAAGCAAAATCGGTAACGCTTCCTTTTACGGTACAGAAATTACAGTATACTTACAGTGTACTTACTTACCAAGAAAGTACTGGCTAATATAAGGTAAGTACATGGAACAGGGGTAGGTTTAGGGGTAGGTTCAGGGTTAGTACTAGTTATTACCCATTAATTGTAGTTACTAAAATAAGTACATAGTATTTACATGGATAACTGGACTGTAAAATGAAGCGTTATCACAAAATCTATGAAAATGTATCTTGTGAATTTGGATAATTTAAGAGAAGATTATTTGAGGATTCAAATGAACTGAGAAGGTAAAGTGACTGAGTCGTGTGAAACTCAGCATGTATTCAGAAACTGACGCAGCTGATACTCTACTCACCATGTGTTGAAAACTAGCGAGGTCTGTTAGTTCACGTCCCCTGTGGACAGGTGGGACTCTTATAGTCTACAGTTCACCAGACAACTGCTCTGCTGAGACACATGGCCACCTTTCTCTGTTTAACCACCTGTCCTACTCAAAACATCACATCTTATAAAAGGAAACCCAAGTTCCCTTTCAAACTTCTTTTCACTCTCAAAAAACGGTGCAATTTTTTAACCTTTCCAGTTTCCTCCTAAAGGTTTGTACTGTGCATATTTTTTCCAGTCACTGTTTTAAGATCATAAATCAACACGTGAGCTGAATGTTATACGGTTGCTAGACTGTAAAAAAAAATTTTTTTCAAGATTTGTTATAACAACATTTTTTCTTAAATAATTTATCTAGTTGAGATAACTTATTATTTTGAGTTTCTGATGATTAAATTAATCTCCTTCATTGTATTAACTCACTTTTTCCAGTTCAGTCAACTTAAAATTTTAAGGCACCCAGGTTGCTTAATTTTTTTAAGTTAAACCAACAATACTTTTTTATTCCTTACACTGTAAAAAAGTATTGTGTAAGGAATAATTTACTCACATTCATTTCATTCTAAATCAATATGACTTTATTTCTTCTGTAGATGACAAAAAAATAGAAATGTTATTTGATAAAGAGGTGTCATTATTATTCAGCGTTCCTCATTTTATGTTCTATGGAAGAAATACAAAACAAATATTTGTTTTGGGAGGAACTATTTATTTATTAATATGTTCCATGGAAGAAATGAAAATAAGCCTATAGATTTGGATTGGGTTAGAGTAAATAACGCCAGGATTTTTGTTTTAAAGGGTTAGTTCACCCAAAAATGAAAATTAAGTCATTAATTACTCACCCCCATGCTGTACCAACCCCGTAAGACCTTCGTTCGTCTTCGGAACACAAATAAAGATATTTTTGATTAAATTTGAGAGCTGTATAACTACCACATTGGCTCCTAAGGGACTGCCTCTTGACGGCCCAGAAAGTCAATGAAGAAAATGTTTAAATATCCCAAGTGACTACCGTGGCTCAACTATATGTTTATCAAGCGACGCGAATACTTTTTGTGCGAAAAAACAAACAAAAATAACGAGTTTATTCGACTATTTCTTTTCTTCCTTGTAGGCCAGAACGAGACTTCCTTAGATTTCCACGACGCATGCGCGAGATTTGCGATCTGCTCACATCAGCTTACACCACTTCAGATCGCAATTCTCGCGCATGCGTCGTGGAAATCTAAGGAAGTCTCGTTCTGGCCTACAATGAAGAAAAGAAATAGTCGAATAAACTCGTTATTTTTGTTTGTTTTTTCGCACAAAAAGTATTCGCGTCGCTTGATAAACATATAGTTGAGCCACGGTAGTCACTTGGGATATTTAAACATTTTCTTCATTGACTTTCTGGGCCGTCAAGAGGCAGTCCCTTAGGAGCCAATGTGGTAGTTATACAGCTCTCAAATTTAATCAAAAATATCTTTATTTGTGTTCCGAAGACGAACGAAGGTCTTACGGGGTTGGTACAGCATGGGGGTGAGTAATTAATGACTTAATTTTCATTTTTGGGTGAACTAACCCTTTAACCTTCAAATGGTCTTCGTTTCCTGTTTACACTTCTGGTTCTATACGACC